CTGAGATCTTGACATGCAGCTGATTTGTCTCACAGACAGACACAGCCTCCACGCCCTCCAAAAGAGCCGAGTTGTGCACTCCCCTGAAGAGGATGTGGCACAGTTAAATTGAGGGAGACGAACTTCTGACACGAAGAACAAATCACAACCTCAGCTGCCTGCTCTTACACACCAAACACGAGCTACAAGCCTTGAGCTATGCAAGGCAACAACTTAAAACAAAGCACAAATAAAAGCTAAGTCCAACACAATTAAAATATATGTTAACACAGTACAAAAGAGGAGAAGGTCAGGGATCAATCAGTGCAGCAGTGCAGTGGTCTTCACCACAACTTTCTAAAGCATGTATGCCACATATGTCACATAGCCATTCCCATTATTAACTCAGCAAAATATGGTTGTTTTGCAGTGGAAGCACATTTTAAAAGGTAGAAAAGACCCAGTCTCAGAAGTCTGTTCTCTGTAAGACCTGTGTCTTTGGGTAAGGAAGGGCTGGAAGGGATGGTAGGAAGAGGAAGCAGTTGCACACATCTGTGTCAGCTTCAATTCGGAGCAAGTTCCACAAAACAACTGTAAAATTACAGTGTTTTGCTGTTGTATACCTGAAGGAAAATAGGTTTGAAATTACCTCCACAGCAAGGCAGAGGCTTGTGGTGTCTGTCTACTGAATTCATCAAGATATCAATATTTAGAATAATACCAATATTAACATTACAAAGTGTGGGTTTTTTCCCCAGGGAAAAAGTATTTGCCATACAGAAGATGAGTATTTTGTCCCGCTTTTTTTTCCCCCCTTATCTTCAGTAGCTGTAATTCAAGAAAACAGATGGGGATCTCCTCTCTTCTCTGAGATATTTACCTTTTTAACACCAGTCCATCTAGAAAGTAAATTAGTCCCACGAAGTTATTCCATAGGCCAAGGTGTACACCTCACTCCCTCAGAAAGCACCCAGTGTTGGGAATGGGGAATAGGAGCAAAGGATGAACGAGAACACCACCCCCTGGTAGCCTATTCTCCTCCTTTCAGAAAGACAAAAGACATTTGCTTTACATTTTCCATTATATGGGGAAAAAAAAATAATTCTTGTACCTAACAGCTTGACTTTCCCTGGTATAAACCATCTGTGGCACTCACCAGTGTCAGCAAACAGATGGGGGAAAACCTGAGGATAATGGAACCTTTAAAACCTGACACTTCCAGGTTAAAATATCCAGAGACAATTATATTGCTGAGATAATTATATTGCAGAGATAGATTTCAGAGATTTTTCTTTTCAGAGATTATAGATTTCAGAGGTGAAGAAAAAGTACTCCTTTTTTGGAGTAGCTGATTTTCCCCTAATTGCACAGTCACTGGGCCAGCATGGCCATGCTCAGCAGCTTCTGCTCCTGGCCTCGAGAATCCCCTTACCACTCATGAGACATTAACCTCAGGGGCTTCTCACCCTATCCCAATACTCCAGCAACCAAACCTATCTACCACATAGATGTTTGTGGCCTTAACTACTTTAATCCCTACCCCTTGTAGGCCTTCTGCTCCAGAGTCATCACACAGAAGATGATTTTTTCAAATATTTTTTTAAGGAAGGGAAAATCTTGTCTCCTGTGTTTATAGTGCAGCTAGATCAACACTTCCAAATATGAAATACATACTGTTACCATATGGCAAAGGACAAGGCTCAATCAATAGTTTTCTTTCAGTGGCTTCCATTTCTGTAATTTTTCTTATTTTTGGGGGGAGTTTTTTTGGTAAGCTGAACAAATTGGTTATGTAACAAAGCATACCTGAAATAGAAACCCACATTTATACTGGAAAAAGCTACACATCCCACCTCTCAAATGCCAGCTAAAGTCATGACACCAGAGTCAGGATGCCATTTACCACTGCCTACACTCTTTTGGTGCAGTGTAATAAATGTAAGGGTATGCTTGTGCTTTACCTGTTTCCTTCCTCCCCATGCAGTCTTCTTTGCTGTCACAAGCTCCCTTTCTCATGAGCCGGTTAACACTCTGCGTCAGTCAGTGGTTTAGAAATATTCCCCACAGTGGTTTCCAGTGAAACTTCTCACCTCCTTTCTCTCCTGGTTACCAGCACTGCTGGCAGATTTTACTCTCGACGCAAGGGAGGATGATGCAGAGGAGTGGAGTTGCCAGGGGAAGTCCTACGACACGTCCTTGTTTGGGCTTGTGCTGCCCAAACTGCCCCCACTTTGTTATAGACGAGTGTTCTGCAGGTGGAAAACACAACTCGAAGTCGGGTCATCTCCTACAAAAGTTAATACTGTCGTGGGACCGTGGGCTTGCTGATAAAAGATCTTCATTTTCTCACCTCCCCAGCGTGGCTTAAAATAGAGCCCAGCGGGGAAGCTCCTGAAGGTGGGGTGGCAGAGCTTCTCCAGGCTGGGAGAACATGCACATCAGGACTTTGGGCTCCTTATTCAGTGTCCAAAGGTGCTGTGTGAAAAGCTGAGGCACAGCACTACAAAACAAATGAGAAAAAGGGAAACAAAATACATAAAAAAAAGTCAACTAGCACAGAGTGTGCAGAAGTGTCAGGAGGGGACACAGGAAGCCTCTCACTCCCCACCACAAGGACTTGGCTGCATATATTCATGACACAGGCCACAGCCTTCTTCCCACCCTGTGGCCTCAGGCCTGTACAGGCTATGTACATATGGCTGTGTCCATGCATAGCTAAAACACATATGAAACGTCTTAATTTGCTAAAACTGTGGCCACGTTGCTACCTGTATGTGTATTTTAAAAAATCAATATATAGGTACAACATTATGCACACACTTTAAGAGCTGCTGCATTTAAGTGACAAGATATGCAGGGATGCTCAGCTGATGACGTTGCATCATCAATTACACACCGTTTCCCACATGGTTTATTGTCAGAGCTAGTTTATGTCTTCTGTAACGACACAGAGACCCTGGCTAAAGGATTTTAAAAATGCATTCACAGGCATACACAAGAAGCACCTTAGAACTATATAGGCTTCCAACAAGGCCCTTTGCACAGAGTGATTTTCCCGAGTAAGGCAAAAGGGTAAATTTTTCCTCATGTAGAAGAAGACAAGCCGTGGACAACTGGGTACCTGCAACTGAACAACAAAGAAAACAACCTCATTTAAAGTCCAGCACCTCAACCAGGGTTATGTAGAGATGCTATGAAACTTCTCTAACCTAGCTTTGATGTGGTTAACATGGGCACAGGGAACAGTGATCTCATTCTGCCCATAGGGGATCCTGGCTGAATGCACACCAGGACAGTCAGCTTGAAAATCCATTTTCACTGAAAAAGATATTTTCATCTGGGATATTTGGGCTAGCAGCTTGTAGTTCTTTATAGGTTCTAGAAATATGCATTTTGTGATCTCCTCAAATGCCTTTTTCCTGTTCACACAACGCAGTTCTGAGACGACTACCAAAAGAACTTTTGTTCTTTCCTGTGAAACAGGCAGATGGCATTGGCCTGGCAAAGAGCAGGAAATGGGCACTATAGGTTACTGAGCAGGTCCTGAGAGAAAACCCAGCTCTGGCTACACTGTTGTGGAGGACAGGGAGAGTTCATCCTGACTTGTGAAAGAGATTTTTATTTGGGAAAATCAGATTTTTCCATCCCCCACCTCGATGTAGGTCGTTTGTTGCTGATTTTAGTTTTAGATTGACTGATTTTGCATTTTACTATGATTTTTCTCTGTGTGCTTTAACCATCTAGTAAGTGGCAAAGTGAGCTTTGCCAGTGAATTTTGTCGCACTTTCACTTTAATATTAAACCTGCTTTTGCTGATTCCTTTGCTGCTGATTCTTTGAGCAAGCTAAAACACTCATTCCTGACAGAAAATTAGCATTTTCTTATTACTGAAGGGCACTTACCTCACAGAATGCCTAGCCTTGACTGTGTGTCCTCCACAACTGTATGTACCTCTGTGACAACAGTTGTCCTTAATGGATAGGATGTGTGGGTATTTTGAGCTGGAATTTCACTAGGTGTGTTCATGTCCCCAGTTGCCATGGATATACACTGATTCTCCCTCCCTCAATGTGAAATGTCTCTCTGGTGTCTTATTACTTACAGACTTGCTGCAAGCACCTTGTATTTACGACCTTTCAGCTCGAGCACTCATTTTCACACGTAGTTGCAAAGCAAGCTATTTGGAAACAGCTTCTATGCTTATACATAGCATAGAATAAAGAACTCTGAAGAGTTAAAAATCTCTCTGAGCTCAAGAGAAGCGTCTCTTTAAAATTCCTGCTTCGTATTCTATCGTCTCACGAAACCAGAAATTCTCTCTCCTTGGTCTCTCCTGAGCTATTCCTTATAGTTGCCAGGAGGTGGAAACATAGCTACACCGACCTGCAGGAGAAGCACCGTGTCGGTGTGCAATTGTGCAGCACGCTGCCTCTGCTGAAGAATAGTGCTAAAAATATCTGCAGTCTGAATTGGCTCATCGGAGCCCAAAACATAGGATCATAGAACACTCTTCCTGAGCCCTTCCAGGTCCCCCTTCCCCCAGCCAGCAAGAAATCTTAACGGCTTGTTACAGATGCCTTTTTAAGCAGCTGCTTCTGTCAGATGTGACATACACAATTATTCCAACAAGAATCCGAAATCAGGCTGGCTTTGACGGAAAAGCTCATGCAGCAGCAGCCATCGCAGCCCTTCAGGACTGAGCAGATATCTGGCAAAGTGATGAGGAGATAAATCTTCACTTGATTTATTTATTTAAAAGATGTGTGTCTGCTTTGGCATTCAAAAATGTTACAAACATGTCCAAGTATGAAAAACATGGCAGAGATCAGAAGTGCTCATCAGACAAGCTTTAGTCACCACTGAAACAGATACAGATGTCACAATCTTCCCTTTGTCATTTGGTGCCAAATTTTAAGTCCTGGGAGAGAAGTCCTTTGACAAAAGGCAAATTTATATAAATACTTGGAAAAGAGGAGAGGGACACAGCACTGTTAAAAGGCTGTAGACAAAATAACCTTTCAAAACATCTCAGAGTTAGGGTAAAACATCACAACTGATTTTGGTTTCTGTTTTCAGAACAGTGAGTTTGACACTGACTTCATTCCTTCTCCCCTGCCTTAAGCTCACACCAGTGAGAATATTTGCATCTTTCTCAGAGCAAACTGAAGAGCACAGAAAATGGACTAGAAAGATGTGAGGACATGTTTAAGAGGAAAAAGGAACACAGGATATCCTTCTTTGCATAGAGAGCTGTAGAAGAAAGGAAAAACCTCTCTGAATGGGAGGCAGGTCCCAGAAATTACAGCTGGAAAGAAACCATCTCTTCATTTCAAAGAGCACAATGCTGAGAAATCTGTTGCCTCAATGAAGGCAAAACCTGGAAGAACTGACACTGATGTCAGAAAATTTCAATACTAGGACTAGAGAAGTCATGTAGAAATTATTCTTCTTTCCCTAGGAGGTAGATGGGGTTAACAGGTAAAATTAATAATCCCAATGAACCAGTACAAGGAAGTCCAGAAATAAATCCCCCAGAACTCTGAAGTGTCCATGAAACACCACGTGAACCCCAGACAAATCACGTGCAATGAAACGAAGCATCTCAGGAACATTAGCTTGTTTAAGCAAAGCAGCTCAGACTTCACAGGGTCTTCAGAGTATGAGTCCTTGGGTGGGGAAAAAAAAAAAGACACACACATAAAGGAGGAAAAAAAAAATTACTGGTGTTCAGGAGCAAAACCAAATTAAATTAATTGACCAATCCAAATTAATAAAGCACAAGCTTGTTCAAAAAATTAGTAATGGAAGATCATATCTCAGAGTTTATACTGAGGCATCATCTGGCCAAGGAGGAAGATTTTCACACATCTAAATCAACTGACTGCTCAGAGGCTCGGTATTTAATTTGCGAGACACCTTATGTCAAATTAGCACACAACTCCACATTCCCCTAGGGCCATACAGGAGGCACCTGAAGTCCATGAAACAATGTTCCTGGGCTCATTCAGTGCTCTCTGTTTTGGCACAGCTAAGAACAGGACAGTGAGCCAGGCAACTTCTGTGGATGTTGGCTGGAATCCAGCTCAGCTGCACCTTCTGCAGAATCCCTCAAAACCAATACCAGGGCAAGTTAGTTGGGATCACTTCACCTTCCTGCCTGGGGAGTTTGACCCTGTTAACCTCTATGGGATTATTACAAGGGGAAAGGGGTGTCATTAGATATGAGGCCCATGCCAGAAACCCATCCAAGTTACTTGTAATTGCATAAAATCAATCATAAAACCTATTCTCAGAAAAAATATAGATGCATATATTCTTACCTTTGACACACACAATTATCCAGGATATTGTAACCACAGCCCACATTTTCTCCAGCCCAGAATCCACCCTTAGAGCTTTGTTCTCTTCCAGGTCAACCTCTGTCCTCTCTGTGGAATTGACAATGTTCACACCTGGTATAATGATGACCAACATGCAAATAAAGATCTGCAGAACTGCATCTTTCCTCACATAAAAATTACCACCAAAAAGGGGGCTGAAGGCATAATTTTTATTTCATTTTTAAGTCAAAATATTTCAGAGAAAAAGAAGGCAAAAAATTACTGTAATCCCTACATTTTAACAAAGCTGGGGAACAGCTTGGAGGGAATATGAACTGGTTTCCCAGCCTAGCCCAGATCAGAAGCAACCCACAAAGCTCTAGGAGCTCACCACCTTGGCTAATGAGGCCAAATAGATATTCCCTTCTTCTGGAGGCGTGGAGCTGAAGTCACTTGGCACAAGTGGAGGGTGCCACACCATGTGATCAGTTAAGACTCACATAGAAATGATTGCACAGGGGCACTGCCACTGTGTGTTTCAGCCTTCTCAGTCTTTCTGCACAGTATTTTTTCTATTCTAAGCAACGAAGCAAGAGAATAAAAGTCGCCTCAATAAGAACAAAGTAATTCACAGTGGTGGCTGCTGTATTTCAAGTCCCATTCCCCCTAAGCACCAATCCTCCCTGAGGTCTGTGTATGCTGCAGTGAATTCAGGAGGCAGTAAGGCCAGGCTGTTTACATACACAAAATTCTCCATTTAAGGAAACGCATAGATCTCCATTTTAGAGAGAATGTCTTTGCTGCCTGTGAATGCAGCTATGGCTATAAACCCAGAACAGATGCCAGGTGAACAGGGGCAGACCTGCACCTAACCCGAGACTAACACACATTTTCCCACGCTGCTTTTTCCACCCAGTTCCTTTCAGCTCTGGTAACGGTGCCCAGAGTAGAAATCCCACAGGGAAACTATTTCCATTAGCTCAGAGAGACCCACAGCCAATCTAATACAAATCCCCAGCACTTTTCACGTGTCAGTCTTGCATTTAGCATGCACAGATGAAGAGACAGAGGAGCATGAAGCTTATTCCACGTGTCACAGCATGGCAGTGATCAATTCTAGTTTCACGCCCTGGGAGGAGAGGATACATCTCCACGAACAGAGCTTCTTATGCAGAAATTTTGCTTGAGACACAACTATGTCATCTCCCAGCTCCCCCTGTAGACAAGCTCCTACCTGTTACATTCACCCTGATGAAGTGGCCCACAGCAGTGAGGACAGTGTTCTTTATTTTGGCCCTGCACTGGTAGCGGCCGCTGTCTGACTGGTTGACTTTCTGAATTTGCAGCAGCAGTGAGGACGTGACTTTCGCCCTGGGGTCCGAGTTTTGTGAAAGGTGCAAGCTTTCCACCTCCTCCCCAAACCCAGTCTCATTTTGCTTATCTGCTCTTTTATACCAGTGAGCCTCAATTTGTGACGATTCATTCTGCTGGTGCCTGATGAGGCAGTTCAAATTCAGGGTCTTGCCTTCCTCCAGGTACTCCGTGGTAGGTGCATAAATGATTTCCAGCATGCTGTGTTCTGTGGTAGGAGAGAGCAGACATTAGCTGAACTGACTTTCGTGCCAGGCCAACTCCTCTTCCATCCCCATATTTGTCCACTTGTTTCTGCACTGTGAAAGCAGGGGCTATCTTATGCTTCAGGTGTGCATAGAGCAGCCAGGATAACAGGTACCACAATGAAAACAATATTAATTTCCTTGCAAGAAAGGAAGAAAAATCTGTTTCTTATCATGGATCTTGCAGAAAAGGCATTATGAAACAGAATATTCTCTATAATCTTCACTAATTTTATAAAAATGGAAGACAAGAAGCGCATCCTCTCTTCAAAAAAGAGAAAGTGAAAGCATCAGAGGAGAGGGATATTTGGGTGGGCTGTTGTTTTTACCTCTTCAACTTGAAGGTTTGTGCGTTCTTCAAATATTGAACTGTTCCATGGAAAGAAAACCTAAAAATACTGATTGGCTCAAAATACTGCTTTTTGTTGGGGTCAGGTTTCACCTCCCAGCTCCCTAGTCAAAAATCACCATAGAGAAAACAAAAGACTGAAATTCATCCTGCAGAGCCTGGCTCAGTGAAAGCTCATCGCAACAGATGTTCTTTATTTTCCATAATCCAGGCAGCATCTCTTGGCCAGACCAAGTAACTCCTAAAACTGGACTGAAAAAATGCCAACAGTGTGCTCTGCCTTGCCAAGGCTGCTCCTTACCTGATACCAGCATTGCCAGAGCTGCCATTTGGAACATGAGGACAGGACTGCCTCCCACCCTAGTGAGGAACTCTGGGATCAGAGTCATCTTCTGCACTAAAAATGGAAAGAGAGGAGAAAAAAAACCAGAGGCCATTACCTGTGAGTTCTTGTCATGGAACTGAGAAGAGCCACTATCACTCAACCTAGTGCTGCAAAAGCTGCCCTAGCACTTACAGAGCAGTAAAACATGCACAGACCTTCCCCTGAAGTGATCTCACAAATGGCAAAGTAACCCACTGCACTTAAACAGGACACCGACAGGAAAGCACAGAGGTCTTTAAAAGAAAAACCACAAAAAATAAAGAAACCAAGCAAAAAAACAACAAGACAACAGATGTCACAAGCCAGAACACCTACATCCACACGCTATGAGTAAACTCAAGTTGCAGCAACAGGCTAATTGAGGCTCAGAGGGCACCAGCTAACACAGCTGAAGTTTAGGGCTTGGACACAATCACACAGTTAGTTACTGCTGCAGCCTACAGTGAATTGAACAGCTGCCAACAAATTCCTAAAAGCTAGTAAAATTCCTTTGTAATTGTTTCTCCTCCTCAAGAGGGCACCTGTATCAAATTATTTGGCTAGCACAGGCCAAGAGCCTGACTCCCAGAAAACTGTCTTAGGAAAAAAATAGAGAAAATCTGAAAGGAAAAAAAAAACAGTGCTTACCACAATATCTTCCTCTTTCAGACCAACATTAGAGGCAGGAGAGCTTCATTCTTTCCTTCAAAATACAGATTTTCCTTTTTTTCCCAGTAACACCTCTAAGTGCCAGGACAGCAAGTGGAAAATGGCACGCTGCTGGGAAGGAGAAAATCAAGAGGGGTTTGCTGGGCCTCCATTTTCCAAAAGGGTAGGTGCCTTGAGAGATTCTGAGATTCAAAAAATAGCTAAAAATCAAAAAAAAAAAATTTGAACTTTGTTTTCTTGGGGATTGATGTTTTTCCCCCCTTCTCAATTTAGCCAGGGAAGGACTTCTGCTTGTTCCACATTGCCCAGTGCTTGTGTCCTGTGTACTTGTGTGAGCTCAATCAGTTCTTTTGGGTATGATCTGATCTTCTTGTTGGCAGGGAAGGACAGCAAAGTGGGGGGATTGAAAATGACAACCAAGCATTTATCTGCACTTTTCTCTACTTCATAGGAATTCCTGCGTAGGCTGCACTTGCAGGAAGTTGAATGTATGGTTGGTTTCTGTGTTATTTTAACTACAATATCTATTCTTCATGCATTCTTATCTTTCATCTCTTCATTGGTGTTCTAAAAGAGTCCCCACACACTTTCTGGTGTGAAACTTTCAGTTATGGGTCAGCTACCCAGGACCAGGAGATTTTGCTGGCTTTTACTAAGGCAGTGTTAGCTGAGCTAACATTTCCTCTCCTGATGACCCAGTAATTCTACCTGAAAGCCAATGTGGTTTCAGAGCCAACAGGAGTACCACAGACATGGTATTTGTTCTCAGACAACTGCAAGAGAAGTGTAGGGAACAGAACAAAGGTCTTTATGTAACCTTTGTTGACCTCACCAAGGCTTTCAATACTGCGAACAGGAAAGGTCTATGGCAGATTTTGGAACGTTTAGGTTGTCCCCCCAAGTTCCTCAAAATGATCATCTCGCTCCATGAGGATCAGCACGGCCAAGTCAGATATGGCAATGCACTTTCTGAGCCCTTCCTAATAAAGAATGGTGTGAAACAAGGCTGTGTTCTCGCTCCTACGCTATTCACAGTCTTTTCCAGCAGGATGCTCCAAAGGGCCACAGCAGACCTCGATGATCAGGACGGTATCTACATTCGATATCGTACTGATGGAAGCCTATTCAACCTAAGGTGACTGAAGGCCCACACCAAGACCTTAAAGCATCTTGTCCGGGAGCTGCTTTATGCTGATGACGCCGCCCTTGCTGCCCACACAGGAGCAGCTCTGCAGCGTTTAACATCCTGCTTTGCAGATGCTGCTGAGCTCTTTGGGCTGGAAGTCAGTTTAAAGAGAACAGAAGTTCTCTATCAACCTGCACTTCAGGAAGTCTTCCATCATCCCCATATCACCACTGGCGAATCAGAGCTCAAATCAGTCCAGCAGTTTAATTACCTAGGTAGCCTCATCTCCTCGGACGGTAAGATTGATGGGGAGATAGACAACAGATTAGCAAAGGCATATAGTGCCTTCGGAAAGCTTCATAAAAGAGTTTGGCGAAATAAACACTTGAAGAAAAGCACCAAGATCAGTGTTTACAAAGCCATAGTGTTGTCTACTCTCTTATATGGATCTGAATCATGGGTCATCTACCGCCACCACCTGCGTCTCCTAGAGCGCTTCCATCAACGCCGCCTCCGTACAATCCTAAACATCCACTGGTCAGATTATGTGACCAATACATCTGTTCTAGAACAAGCAGCAGCCACAAGTATTGAGGCCATGGTGCTGAGAACACAGCTGCGATGGGCAGGGCACATCTCCAGGATGAAGGACCACCGCCTCCCTAAGATCTTGCTCTATGGTGAACTTGCCACCAGCTGCCGCAAGAGAGGAGCCCCAAAGAGGAGATATAAGGACTCCCTGAAACATCATCTCAGCCTTGGCCATATCGATCAACATCACTGGTCTACTCTGACCTCCAATCAGGAGGTCTGCAGACACACCATCTATAACGCTGGTGATGCCTTTGAAAACGCACGCACGGTCACTCTTGAGGAGAAAAGGTAACACAGAAAGAATCGTGCCTTGCAGAATTTACCATCTAAGGAGTCTTTCTGCTGTGCCTTTTGCAACCGGACATGCCTGTCTCGTATTGGCCTTTTTAGCCACCAGCGCGGTTGTGTCAAACGTGGGTAGAGCCCTCCCCAAATCTTTGTTCGCAAAGCCCAGCCATGATGACTAAGGCAGTGTTAGCTTAGCTAACATTTCCTCTTCTGATGACCCAGTAATTTTCAGACACTTCTCAGACTCAGAAGAGGTTTCATCTTCAGAGTGCAGACAACAAGCATGAGTTCAGTGGCTCTTTCAAGAGCTTCAGAGGCGCACAGAGCATAGGGGAATAATTGATGCTGCCAGTTCAGTCTCTGTAGCTCATTGAAGGAATTCAAACCCTTACTATTGGCAAAAGGTTCAGTGTCCCAGATATATTTACCGACAATGTACACACTCTGTGTGAGAAAAGACATCAGCTTCCAGAGCTGCTTCCAAACTTCCTTAAGAAGACACCGCATCTGGGAAAGGTACTGGCTTGAGAGCTCAGACACGTGTACCAGCCACTCACAAAGTATACACAGTTCAGAGAGCAAGATTAGGGTTTTGTCTCTTCTCCTTCCACTTTCTCATGCCAATCCCAAAGCAATCACTTCTCCTGCAGAGCAAGCAACATGTTCTTTGAAGTCCACTGAGCATTGGGCCTGTCAGTGGAGTGTAATCCTTGTTGCCCAGCCTTCACAGTGACGCCTATGGATACATGTTCATGAGCAAACAAGACTGGACGTGCCTCTGAGGTTTCTTCCTCAGAAACAGGGCAGTGAACAGCCTTTTCATTTGAGAAAGAGCTAGGGAGGCTTGAAGCCACCACTGTGAGCTGCATGTACCTTCTCAGCAGGCATTGGAGATGAGTGACACAGGAGAACACTGAGGGTGCAGTGGAGCACCCCCGGCACACCCACTGTGTTACTGAAAATAGGGCTTGAAAGAGGAGAAAAATCCCCTATTTCAACCATATAAAAGGAAAAAAAAGACAAAATAAAAGCAAGTAGCAAAGTCCCGCTTTCTGAATAAATCTGAACATGTGCCCATTTGTTTTAAGGCAAGCAAGATCTCCTCAGGTGGCTCAGCTTTAGTAAATCCATCAGATTCAATACAACAGTTAAAAAATTTTCATTACAAGGCAATCAGGACTAGGAAAAACAGAGATCACAAGATCACACAGTATGTTCTCCAGTGTCCTCCTGTATTCTATGCATTTCCTGCTTTAAGAACCTACCTTCCCCATGAAAAAAAAGGATGTTTTTAGCTCTGGTGTGTGTTTATATTAAATCAAAAGATTAAAAAAGTGATAAAATTTAGCTATTGAAATCCTGATATTTTTATCCTACTTTGCTTCACAAAAAAAAAAAAAAGCATCATGGGAAAAGTACATACCCAAAATAAAACCCATGTCCTGAGACTGTTGTTTTGGACTATCAGCATCCCACATATATATTCATGATAATCAAAGAAAAATTGAAGAGAACACAAAGAGTTAGCAAATTTTGTACCTCAAGATATATGTATTCTGTAACTCTAAAGAGAAAAGGTCCAGGAACCAATTAGTGAAAAGATGCTTTTTTTTTTTAATCAATATAATAAAATTAATACTGCCAATCGAATAACACAAAAGCAAGCAAACCTTCAGAAATCAACACTCCACTGTTATCTAAGCTAATTGAATGTATAACTTCACAGTCTTACAGTGAATCAACAGATTAACGTAGTCGAGTGATCAAACCCCTTAAACTGATAAAATAGATTATTGCCACTCACTAAGTTAACCCTAGGAGAATTTCAGACAATGACAATATCCTTCAAATTCCACTTCCTTACTTAATATAAATGCTTTTTAAGTGTCCACAAGCTACTTTTCCCTTACACCTTACTGTCACTAAATGTAATTACAGAGGGATCATGTTCTATCATTCCCTTCTTCAAAAGGACACAATGGGCTTTAAAGAAGGTATGATAGTTAAATCTCATAGCAGCAGCTTAAAATACAACCATTAACATGAGAGAATCTGAGTCAGTGAGAAAATGTGGTATAAGTTTAGGAAATCATTAAAGAATTCTGTTGGGAATCTCTCATGTGCACAGACAAGTGAAAACCAAGAGATAACAGTGTAACTCCCCCCTGCAAAGGCAAAATAAAACAAACAAAAAAACCCCAAGAGAGTAGGATAAATTGCTTACTGCTTGACTTCTTGGGACCTTGTCACTGGTTATATGGACTCAGCCACTGTGGAACTTACTGCCACACACAAGTTCCATTCAGGCTTATGCTGGCTCCCCCCAGTCACATAGATCTTTAAATTCTTCTGCTGGGTGACCTGCCCAAGGAAGAAGCTTAATGTAACTTCAGCTATGTCTGGATAACAGGATTTTTCTTCTTCCTTCTCTGGTCTTTACTCCTTGGGAAGGCACGTCCTGCTTGTTCCAGCTCTGGATCCCCTTCAGGATTTCAGGATCATTTCTGTTTTTAGGCCCAGATATAGCCATGTCAGGGCGATCAGGACGATTTTCAAGACAGGCAATAAGCTAAGATGCAAGAGCATATTTTCTAGAAAGTTTGTGTCATCTTCCAGTTAAATCAGGGTCTGCTGTCACCAAAACCAGTTTTACTCCTACAAACCTAACCAGCCTTATTTCCAGGTATCCATTTCATGGAGATTTATTCTGTCCTTAGTACTTATGTGTGGTTTCCTGGTAGGATCTGTTCCTTGTTTGGAGGGAATTTTAAAAGGCTAAATATAAGCCCATACACACTCTACTGGCTTTTACACTATATTAAAATAATTTAATTTTACACAATTTTTTTTCCTCATACTAAAGTAATCTTGGGTTCAAATAGGGTGTAGATATATATCCCTCCAAAAGCTCCTAATACTAGTTTTCAATAGTTATACAGGAAAAAGGCTGCATTCTGCATTTTTGCAGTGCCAAACATAGCAGTAGCCATTTCCTTTTTGTGATAACAGATAACGAGACTGTCAATGCCACAAAGTGACAAGACCTAATAAAGACCAGGCGTTACCCACCCTCGTGTTTCCATTAAAAGTTCTATAAGCATCACATAAGCCTCATCAGAGCAGAACAAAATAGTTTTTCTCCAGCACAAAAGCAAATAGGCAGTGACCAAGAAGATGGAAACTTCTGCAGAAATTTTGTATTTCTCTTTGCCTTCCAGGTTACATTCAGACTTTCTATCATGTTCATTTATCTCAGAAAGGTAAATGAATGCTATTCCAATTTAAATCCCCCTTGCAGCAAGAGTGGATGCGCACAATAAGAAATCTGAAGCAAAAGTTTGGTCCTAATTAAGTGAGGATAGTCCACCTTACCCCTCCAAACACCAGTTCAGCCTCATCTTACAGTAAGAAAAATTTTCAGAATAGTGTCTTTACTGACAAAGCAAAATTAAAAACTCAGTAATACAGAGGTTAAGTCAGAAATTAGGGACATTTCCAGGGTGGATTACAGGCTTGGGGGGGGTGGGACGAGGTGGGACAGGCAGCAGGAAGAGGAATGGAAAGGTGGGAAGAGAAAGAGATTCATGCTTGTTCCTGCTGCTGCTGCCGCCTTAGGCCTGGATACTTCCTGTCTCACTGAGCTGTACTTTTTTGAGGAAGAGTATATGCTTTCCCTGGTGATTCTACAAGCATCTTTTCATCCTGCTCCTTGAGGAAAATAGTGAAGTAGACATAGTAGTTATTATTTATACATTTCAAAGTCTTAAAAGAAAAGGAACACGGTCTACTGTCAAATTCAGAAATCTGTCTCCAGAGGGCAAGAATTGCAGATACAACCAAGATGTAAGGAACTTACTCTGTTCTTTCATAGGTCAAGAATAAAAACCAGTTTTATAAGGGTACATACCCTAGTAAAAAAGAAAGCTCCAGGTGCTGGATGGAAAAAGCCAGACTTGTAGATTTAGGATATTATTTTTTATGTCTCAGCATCTTGCATGTCCAAAGAGTACTGAATGATAGAGCAGCTGAAAGGCAGAACTGAAACACATCCAGAAAATGCCCAACAGGATGAGCTGGAATGAAAAGTCTTCCCACGTGTTACCAGTGCCAGAGGGAAGGCAAGAAGTCCAAAGGCATTGCCATTTGAAAAGCATTAATCAAACCAACATCAGCTGCAGTTATCCAAACAGTCCTGCAGAGAGCCTGATTGCTGTGCATGCATGTGCATATATATGTGTGGCTACAGCCAAATACTATTAACAAACACATAGCTCCACCAAAAAGGCTTCTTAGTTCACATAATTCCTCATTTTTAAGTCCTTTAAATTCTTGCTTGAACAGAAATTTCCAGGGTTTTAACACCGATTTCAGCCTGATGCAACAGTGAAAGAAGCTGCACAGAACACCTCATAGCTAACTCAGTAAAAAATTCTGCACCCAAAAGCCCAAATTCATGATCAGTACGGAATATTTGTTGAGTAGCCAAAGAAGAAAGCATTGCTTATAGCTTATATTCTCCAGCAAAAAGGTCGTTGGGGAAAACAATTCAATATTTAAAGCACAAAGAGCAAAGCCTGAGGCAAGAGGACTGCCATTATAATTCCTTACTGACAGGTCCAGGGGACAGAATACCTTCCTTTGCTGCAAACACGGGGACAGCAAATGATTTCTTTTCCTCCCGTTTTTCAGGAAGACCTAAGCCCAAAATGCTAGAAGGAGGGTTATTCTCCCCTTCCTCTGGAAGCCTGCAAACCAGCAGGATTGCCAAGTCATTCTTGTTTGCTTCCCTGCAATTTTTTTTCCTCTCTCTTTACCATGTCAGGAGCATGTGGTCACCAGAAGAGAAAGAATTAATTACCACTTGGCTTTGTGCAGGATGACTGATGAATATTCATTTGGTAGCTCAAATGGACTTTGCCTCAAGATTAAGGAGGACTTCAGTGAACCAAGCAGTCCTATTACCAAATCACATGGTGCTTTATGTAACGCTTGCCAAGCCAGAGTGGAAAAACCATCACTTGCAAAAGAAGGGGCAAAGGGAAAGGGCTGTACTGATCTTGAACAGCTTAAGTACAGGAACAAAGAAAATGTGCTTTCACATTACTTTGCTGAAGGAGACCTTAAAACACTCCAAGGCTCTGATTCCCAGTCCCTGTCAGACTTGGCAGTGGAAGGAAAGGCTTCACTGAAGAGGCTGCTGCCCCCTTGGATGGGGCCAGAAACGGGCGCTGCGAGGAGAGCAGTGAGCTTGTGCTCAGCAAGTGTACAGTGAGCAATACAGGCAAGCAAGAACTACTTAGAAACCCTCATTACATCAATTTTGAAGGGATGTGCGTGCTCCCAGGCAAGAAATTAGTTGCCATCATGAAGAGGGAACATTTTTACACCAAAATAGCCACATAAACCTTCTGTCAGCAGAACAAGGCTGGCAGCGTTACAGGTTATTTGAGCACTTTGTTTGCAGGACAAAATATATGAACATTCATTTTTAGGGTTGGACTCCTTGTACAACTGTGTTAATAACAAAAGGCACCTTTTAGTCAACTGAACTTCGTATCTTCAGACTTGTTTTAAAAACATTAAAAGATCCACTTCACCAATCTGTCATTAACAGCTCTGTTTTCTACTCCTCTCAGTGGAATGGCCATGAAAGCAGTTTCTTCAGCACTTCTCAACACCAACTTGGTGAGTAGACCTTTTTAAAAAACCTATTAAATTTAAAACAAACAAACAGAAGTGATCCACAGGCTAGCTACATTTTTTCCCCTATCTTTTTAAGGAAAACAAAAAACAAAAAACAAAAACAAAAACAAACCTGAGACTTGAAGCTGGATAAACTTTTCAGATGTGAATAAGCTTCATGAGTGCCATCATCCTGGCACCACTGGGCACACATTCTTCTCATGTCTGTGTTCAGAACAGGGCCAGGAGCTGACCTGAGCCACAGACTTCCTGGGAAAGAGTAAGAATTTGGTAAATGACACTTACTGAAACTATGCCCTGGCACACCACCAACTGTGCCAGGTGTGGCTCAGTGGTTTGCTCTGGGAAGCAGAGGCTAGGACTTGCCAAAACTTGTGAATTTACTGAATTTTAGCCAGTGCCAAAGTTAAAAACACAGGTGCTTCCCTCCATTCACTCAACAAGCTGAGGAAACCATGTGAACATTTACAACTACTAGAAAATTCTTATTTCTGACCATTTTTTTTAACCCAGGTGAGTTCCACAGGAATTTTTTCTAACCAAAAATTGGGAAAGCTTTGGAAAAAAATTACAGAAAATATTTCATAAGTGTTAACCCACAGAAGAATGCAATGACAACAGGAACAAAGGCCCACATATTTCTACAACCAGCCTATAGATGAAAAGGGATACACTTCAGAGAAACCAGGACCCCTTAAGTCTACTCCCTGTGTTAACAGAAGTTACTCACCATGGCCAACTCCTGCAATATAAGAATACTGAGAATTGAGAGGTTTTTTCAGGTTTTATCACTTTTCATCAATTGTTAAAAGGTAAAATGTCTTCCTTAGTTAGGTTCCTCATTTTTGCAGCTGTAGGATTATGCTTGAGAACATTCTTCCAAAAGGCTCGAGAAACAGAAGAGGAAATATTGCAAGCTGCCTTTACTCTGATAGATTCTTAAATAATTTTCATTCTACTGGTGGAAGGATAGGAGAATTTTTGAGCTTTTGGCATCTAGGTCGTGTCAGCGTTGGATGCATTAGTACACCTTCCATACAACTTACATCTCAGCCCCACAGATGCAAAGATCAGCCCTAAGAAATGCAGGGCCTTGGAGACACATCCTTGCACTGAGCATCCCCTTCAGCCTCCTGTCACAGCCCTAGGACAAGCCTCCAGCCTCACCTCAAAGAACCTCCCCCTCAAAATTTGTATTTACTAACATGTCGTAATTCACCACACCAGAAGTTTAAGTAGTCTGTTGACTACTAGACCTGTCCCCCTCAACTTTCTTTTCAAAGCCTTTTGAAACTGCTGCACAGCCTCCACCTCCTTTCCATTGGAACGTGACCATACTTTCCCTTCTAGAAACACAAAATGTTTCTAGTGTTTCACTAGCATTTTACATTTGTGTGGCATCTTACTCTTGAAAAATCTTGACGGGGCCCAAGATCACCTCAAGTGACTATCACAGTGGCACTACAATGTGAATTCCCATCTGCACTGTGCTTGGCCACAAAACTGAGAACCACTGTGATGTCCCTCCTCATCCAGTCGTTGTCTTACTTGTCTGAAAGATTACAAGCTGAGGACAGGGCTTGGTCTGGCTTCATGGTGTCCCTGCCCATGGCAGAGGGGTTGGAACTAAATGATCTTTGAAGTCCCTCCCAACCCAAACCACTGTGTGATTCTATTCCATGATTCTCTGGTGCTTTACAACATGGTGGCTCACTGAGGGGTTTTTTGTATGTTATACAAAGAGGAACAACTCCTAGTCACAACGGGCTTGCAAATCCACTTAGAGTAAGTGGATTACAGCAAGGTTTTTCTAACATCAATGACTGTTATGTGGCAGCACATTTAGGTTATTCTTATTTCTATTACCTCTCCTTTGAATTACACAGTTGGAGCAGACAGCCAAGGAAAACACAGGTGTTATTTCTAATAATCCAATTCCACAGCCAGTTAATGAGAGAAATAAGTAGTTTAAAAGCTTTCTAAAATTGAATTAGATTTTTTAACAAGAACTTCACATGGGTCAGTTCATTAATTGTCTTGGTGTTCTGGGATCTCGGATTTGGAGGCTTCCCCTTGCATTAGAAACACCATTAGGTCAGTCCATATCTATAAGCAAATCCTGCACGTGCTTATGGATAGTGGATAAGATATGACCTTGTGACAGGTTATAACAACAGTCAAAGCTGCACCCTGACTCCTCTCACTCCTTTCCTACAGGATGGGGAAAAAACCATCAGGGCTTCCCTGAAGAAAGTTAAATCCAACCCAGCCAGACCCAGTACAATCTCAATGCTTGTTCCATGCCATTCACATCATGTGTGACCTCAGAATGATCTATCAAAGTATTCTCTGTCCCATTCATACATTATTTAATTTCTACACCCTACTCAAACCTTTTCATGTTATCTATTTCTCTTTCCTGAAATTCCTTCTTACCAACACTTACAACTTACACTACATACTCAAAACATCTTTATATCCCATAGTAAGGCTTATACATCCTCTATGAACATTGTACATTGTCCCTTGACATACGTATATATATCAGATATTATTCCCCCATTCCATGCTCCCCCTCCCCCAAAGCTCCATAAGAACAGTTGATGACTTTGGTCCTATCTGTCAAGGAGATCACTCAGTAGAGAAGAAGCAGCAATTTGGATTGTTGAGCACCAAGACCATTTGGGATGGGTCAGCACTGCACTCTCACGGTTCCTTGTGGGGGCTCCTTCTCTGTTGGTTCAGATAATTCCTGCTGTATTATTTACTGTACCATACAAGTCAAAAAATGGATTATCTTGCCCCAGGGATAAACCTCCCTGAGGTACACAGCAGATTTCCACTTTTTCCCGCACTGCCCACCAAGGGCACCCGGGTCCCTGAATGAAAACAATGCCACAAATGCACTTTCCTTTTCCCCAGGGTAGAGCAACCCACTCTGCCTTTCCCAGTCACTTACCTGTACCATGGGGGCCTCATCTCCACCCACAGTGTGTAGGGGCCTATTTTGGGCAGAACCAGGGCAGTTAGTGAATATTCTGGTATCAAAAGTTTAGGTTTCACTGCATCCATTCCCCAGTGCCCTATGCTCTGAGCATAGCCTATAACAGCCATACAACAGTATCAAACAATTCTTCCTAAGGCCTGGGACATGTGAAGCACCAAATCAGTGTCGTGTTTCTTGGCCCAGGAACACGGGCTCAATACCCCGACACAGGACTTGACTGTCAAGGCTCAGGGTGGCATTAAAAGCAACAGAATGGTTTAAAGGGTATGTCTCCAGCCACCCGATAGATGCTTCCACCACGGCAAACACGTAGCACTTGCCTTGGCAGGTTCAGAGCATGATCCAGAACAGTCAATCTGCCAGGCCTCACCATATTGATATCCCAGAGAGCTCCCTCCCTCTGTTCCAGGGAGACTTTATCCACGTGGGTCACTTGGTTGCAGTGTAAGGGCCTCAACAGTCAGGGCCCACCCCTCAATCACAGGGCCATTTTTTCATTGTAACTCTCCCAGTTATGGTCCTTATCTTGAATTCTTCAAGCACTTTCATCCTATTTCCTCACCATGTCCTGTAGAGGAGGGGGGTGAAAGTGGCTCAGAGGGCATCTGGCTGCTGGGCAAGGTTAACCCACCACGATCCTTTTTTTTGGCACCCAACATGGGGTAGGGAGATTTTAACCAGTAACACCCCAATCTGCAGTCAAGTGCTGCTGGCTCAGGTCAATCCAGCACGACCCGAACCTTTAAGACATTTCTCATAGCTGGAGAAGGCTTTTGCCCAGAGCAAAGGCCAGGCTTGCCTCAGGTGACCTCTTGACTGAGTTTTTGACTGTAACATCAGCAGAACAAAATGCAAAGCTGCTGAGAAATGCACGTGATTAGCACTTCTGCCTGCAAGGACAAGACAACCTATCAAGGTGTTAAACACATTCAGTGAAACTTGGTTAAATAAATAATCTTTTAAATCAACCTTTGCCCAATCAAAGTCCAGCCTTACTTATAGGTACAGCCACGGGAGAAACACTGAAAGAGAACTCCTGGGAAGGCTACTTTACCCAGATACACAGGTAAGAAATTTCTTTTTGCCTAAATCCCTCTTCCCTTAGAAAACTCCTTCTTACAATCCAAATAACTTTGCATGTAAAGCTTTCATGGGTTAAAAGGAGTAGTATGCAGTGCACTGTAACCTTCCCTTCCTTCCTAAATATGGAGAAATAATCTTTCCCATAAAAGCCTACTGTTTCTTCAGCTTTGTGTAGCACTGGTTTTGCATGTTAATTTCAGAAATTAGCACAGGTTCCCAGTATTTATCAAGAAAAACTGCTTTGAATTGTACTTGCAATCAATACAGTCTGATGTGTTCCAAACAACGTTCAAATAATAGGATAGTTCACCCCTTTATGGAGTTTCTATCACAGAATGATTTGACTGCCAGCACATCTAAAAAACTGACTTCTGTCAGTAAAGAGAGGCAGAAAAAAAAATATCTTTCCAGTAGAATACAAACCAACTTTGTTAATTACCTGGACTTTCCAACTGGAAGAAGTTGTCTTCGTTTGTCTCATTCTCCTGTCCTCGTGGGTCTTTGGGAGGAGTTCCTAAGACAACTATTTTTGGAGGTGTCCCTGGTCACACCTGTTGTTTACTTTCAGTACAAGGTATTCCTGCATGATACATTTCACCCAAAACAGAGTTTCATTACAACATAAAACCATGCCAGATTTTAGGTGGGAAGGGAGTTTTGCAGGTTGTCTGGTCCAATGCCCCATAGAAAACAGGCCCATAGATCAGGTTGCTCAGGGTCCAATCCAGGTATCTCAAGGAAAAGATTTCACAGCCTCTGTGGGCACCTGTTCTAGCAGTACCTGACAGCCCCCAAGAGGAAAGGCTGTCCTCATGGCTATCTAGTTGGAATTTCTCTTGCTGCAGCCTGTGTCTGCTGCCTCTCATCCCACCACTGTTAACTTCCCAGAAGAGTCTGGCTGTGTTCTCTACTCAATCCCATTAGGCAGCTGGAGGAGGGCAGTAAGATCTTTCCTTTACTTTCTCTTCCCAAGACTGAACAAACTCAGCTGTCTCAGTCTCCTTAAACATGGTGTGCTCCAAAACCTAATTCCTTCCTCAGGACTAGTTCCAATATGTCAATAACCTGGGGAGACCAAAACTGGAGACAGTACCCACATGTGGTCTCCCAGGTGCCAAAGAGAAGGGAACAGTCCCTTCCATTGACCTGCTGGCTACATTCTGACACCACTCAGTGCAAAGATGATGCTCTTCAAAGGTTCACCACGGACTCATGTCCAACTTGGGCACTTGGGTGCTGTCCAGCAATGCTGCCTTCTGGCCAGCCAGCACACAGCCAGCTGCTTGTGAGCAGACAGCTGTGCACGGTCCAGATACAGATTTATTTCTCTTTTTTGCCTGTCACAGAGCCAGTCCATTCCTCATGTAAAGTTATCAAGGTCATCAGGTATCATAAAAATCAGCACATCCACCCTCCGATGCAAACCCTGCACACATTAACAGTAACGCTCCAGTTGCAAGGCCTTTTCTTGAAACCTGAGTTTGTTTAGTTGGTATAACTAAGAACAGGAAAGCCTGGTTACAACAAGGAGGCCCTTCCTTGATCCCACCTGCTCATCCATCTGCAGGGGTTGCCTGGAGAAGTTGTGGAGTCTCAGTCCTTGAAGACTTACAGAAGAGAGCTGGGCCCGTTCAGCCTGGAGAAGGGAAGGCTCAGGGGAAGCTTCCTAATGCACAAAAGTACCTGAAGGAGGGTGCAAAGATTATGGAGCTGGGATTTTTTCAGTGGCGCCCAGGATAAGAGGTGATGGGCACAAACTGCAACACAGGAAGCTCCACCTGAATGAATGTAAGGACACTATTTTTACTGTGAGAGTGACTGAGCACTGGCATAGGTTGCCCAGAGAGGTAGTGGAGCCTCCCTCCTTGGGAGATATTCAAAGTCATCTGGATTGTCTGGACTTTGTCTTTGGGAACTGGTTGTAGGTGGCCCTGTTTGAGCTGGGAGGTCAGACCACACATCCTGCAGAGCTCCCTTCCAACCCTGACCAGTCTGCAATTCTGTGAAATTCCATTTTGCCACATAAATTTCCTACAGTGGTCTGGTATTTGTAACACTTAATGCAAGTACTAAATCCTCACCTCAATTTTCACTATGTTTTCACAGGCAGACTTTTTGTTTTTCAATTAGGCAACTTGCTTAACTTCATTTGATATAGGGAGACAAGAAAAGAAGAGGGAGAGGGAAAAGGGATTGGTTTCTTCTCCCAGGCCTTGTTAACTAACTTCAGCTTTGCACAGCTGGATTTCTTGGGAAACAAAATCCCAAGAATTCTGAAGCAAACTCTCTCAACGCATATTTAGAGGGAACATATAGGTAAGCTTACTGTTTTTGCTTACGCATATCTTTTCCACCATGTCTGGCAGAGATGACTTCTGTGCTCCAGCCCCGAGAATGCAAAGTGACCAAGAAGCCCCAGAAGATCTACGGATTCTTCCTGCGCCTTGAGAGAGACACGGCAGGGCACATCATCCGCAACGTGGAACAGAACAGTCCAGCTGAACAGGCTGGCTTGAAGGATGGAGACAGAGTTCTCAGGGTCAATGGTGTGTTTGTAGACAAGGAGGAACACGCACAGGTACATCCCTGGGATCCACGCTACCCCACGCTGCCCCCGTCACCCAGGCCCACGGCCACTTCTGTGAAGCTTTCTCTTCCAGTTTTTATGCCTTCTTTGGGTAGGAAATCCAAGAGCTGAGTCAACTGCTCTGAGGATCCCCCTGCATCACTCACTACTCACCACGGCCATGAAATGTCTCTGGGGGGCCTCCACAGTGCATAAGCCGGGGAATAAGACAACAAAAACAGCAGACAGTGCAGCCCTTCCTGGGGACAACTTTCAGTTCAACCACTCTAGTGCCTGCTTGTCATTTCCCCTTGTCCACTACAGGTGGTGGAGTTAATAAAAAACAGTGGGAATTCCGTTGTACTTCTCGTTCTGGATGACACATCCTATCACAAGGCACAAAAGGAGGGAGTGAACTTGGAAGAGCTGGGTCAAAAGGCATCAACAGGACAGCAGCAGGAGCAGTCCCCACCATCCACGGCCAACAGAGGAACCAGTGCAGTTCCACAACCCCGGCTCTGCTACCTAGCGAAGGAGGAGAAAGGCTATGGCTTCTCCCTGAAAACCACAGAAGGTGAGAGCCTTGGGAGAAGAGATGGGAGACAGAGATAGATAGGTAGGTAGATAGATAGATAGGCAGGCAGACAGACAGATATTTGGCAGCAGGGACAGAAGCAAACACAATTAACACAGGAGGGCTAATAGAGACACACAAACTGTTCTTACTACCAGAAAGCAAGCGAGAAGCTGCAAGATGAGTTCAGATTCATCTCTGTACAGCATATGCAGTGAAAGGTTTTTGGAGGACCGTGCTTCTTACTGGGTGGAGAAAAGATGAAAAAAAAGAGAGATAGAAATAATAAGCTATTTTCTGCTTGTTATTTAAGCCCACTTAACAAAACCAAGTTTGCAGTCCCTGCTGAAATACCAGATACATACTTAACATGCTATGTTAAGTCCTGTTCCTTTCCCTCAAATCACCTCAGACAAGGTTCTAGGTAGCTGCAAGAAACACTTTTCCTGATTTGGAAGTTATTTCATTATTTTTGAACCTCTTCCACATAAGCCTTTCTTCCAAGGCCAGTCAACAAAATGGGGAAGTCCTCTGGAAAGTATCACCTCTAAAGAGCATGTTTTGGAATGCAGTCTAACTGAAAGACCTAAAAGCAGCTCCTCTCTCCAAAATTATGAGGGACTTGGGTGGGGGCAGGAATCAGATACCTTTCAGATATCTCAATCAGCCTGCCTGCACTCTTGGTAGGGAAATAAACAACTGCTTGGGCTGCAGATAGTGAATAAATGTCTCCCTCTCTCCAATGGAAGTGATTTTTCCAAGACAGAGTAAGAGACAAGGGTGTATCTGTGTGGAATGTTTGTGGTGCCACTGTGATCAGCGTGTAAGCAGAGACCAAGAGTCTCTGAGGACATCAGTGCTGAGTTTCCTTAACCATTAAATTCAGGCATATTGCAGTGACTTACCCTGTGTAATGAGTTTTCATCTATTTTAGGACAGAAGGGGTTGTTCATAGTGGAGCTTTCACCAGAAGGAGCAGCTGCAAAGGCTGGTGTCCAAAATAACGATCGCCTGATTGAAATCAATGGGGAAAACGTGGAAAATTACACACACGAGGAAGTGGTGGAAAAGGTATTGATTCATCTTCTGTTCTGGCCTACTTTCACAGCAACCTGTCAGGGCTACTGAGGAGGCAGGTCTGGCCCATTTGAACGCTTCACAGCACATCTTGGGAGCTGCTGTTCCTGTATCATCAATGCAGCAGCGCAGCTCTGGCTTTGGCTCTGTCATCAAGCAGCCTCTCAAACTGCTTCTCAGCGAATACTGCCATCAAGACAGGCCAAAGAATTTCAAATAACAGAACCACACCGCTGCCAGGAACCCTGTTAAATAAATCATGCTCTGTTCCTAGAAGTCCTGGAAATGCTTCCAATGGCAAGAGGGCAGTGTGGTTTTCAGGGCAGGAAGAGGGAAACTCTCTGAGGATGCAGTCAGCATGGAACAGGGAAAAATTCATAATTTTAGACAGTAGCTCCTTTCTCCTGTTAAGAAGTCCAAAAACTAATGAAAATTACTGTGCAACAGCTTTCAATAACCGGCCTCAGCTGCAAAGAACGTTGCTAATGAAGCTTCCAGCTTTCCACTATTGGCACTGCCAAAACACAGCTGGAGCTCAAGAGATTTCAGAGAGCCATGAGACAGGCAGCACATACTCTGGCATTCCAGCATCATTCAGTGCACACAACTCATGGAACTGTGCAACACCCAAGTTTTGTTGAGCTATTGCAACATCAGCAGCAGACTGACCTCGGTTAAGATGAGTAAAAAGGGCACCCGTTAGAGTAGAAAGGATTAGGAGAAGGATGGACTTGGAGTGGTTGAACAGACAAAAAAAATATATATATATAAAAAAATCCAAACCTCAGAATCAGTAAAGGAGACAGAAAAGGACCAAAAGTAACAGAAACTTGACTCTTGTCACTGTAATCTAAAATAGTGGTATAGGTGTTATGATAAGTGTATGTTGTAGAATTTCACGTAGCCAAGCACTATCTCCCGAGGCTCACTGGATTCTACAGCCCTGTATGCCACCCTCATGGCCCTCTACGGGTCCCTGTAGGTCACAAACACAGTATGAAATACAGAAAATTTCCTCATGCATTACATGTCCAGGATTTCATCATGGCCCAAATTTCTGACTGGAAGTGTGGGGGGGGTAAAAATCAACTTATAGTAGCATGGCCTACCCCTTACAGCTCGTTCATCAGCAGCACCCCCACACACCATGTGTCAGAATACCAAAGTATCTACAGTTCCCACATGCTGTTGAAGGGGTGACATCTGAGACTGTACATGTACTATCACAGGTAAAGAAGTCTGAAAATCATGTTATGTTTCTACTTTCAAATGAAGAAACAGACCGCTATTTCACAAGCCAGAAGAAGGTACTGAGCAAAGAGAGCGCCAGCCTAGGACTGCTTCCCCTCAGACCACGGCTCATCGAGATCCAGAAGGGGAAGAGCGGTTACGGATTTTACCTACGGATGGAACAAAACACTGGTGGTAAGAACCAAGTTAACACACAGGCCGTGACATTTGATACACAGTTTCTTCCTGTACAGTGTTTGCAGGCTTCATTTTCTTTGGCTTCAGACTGGTCGCCCGGCAGAAATCCCCCACGGACACGTTCCACAGGGAATTGGTCTCAACCCGAAGCGCCTTTCTGACAATTCGCCTTTGCCACGCGTTTTAATGTCTTCCAACTCACCGAGCTGCTCCTTCACATCAATCTTTCTTCCCTTCTCTGCTCTTAGACCACGTCATCAAGGACGTAAATCCCGGGAGCCCGGCGGCCGGGGCGGGTATCAAAGACGATGACATCTTAGTGGCCGTCAACGGAGAGCAAGTGGATGGTCTGGACCACGAGAGTGTAGTGGGAAAAATCAAGCAGTCTGAGGCAAAAACCACACTGCTGGTCGTGGATAAGGAAACTGATGCCATGTATAAACTGGTAAGAAAATGCAAACTACTGCTAAGAATTGGTAATTTATCATCATCGAGAGACGTATGCAGCAATGAAACAGCCAACCTGCTCTGACAGACACTTCTTCAACTTGCAGGAAGTCTCTAAGATATACCCCATATTTCAGCAACTCTCCTAGCATTATACAGGAAGTCTAACTAAATACCAAATTTTTGGCCTCTTCACGATTTTTATAGACACTACTGGGACAATTCTAAATTCAAACACACCACAAGAAAAGTTAGTTTGCTGTTAAGACAGCAAATTCAGAGCTACATGGCTGTATATTTATAACTGGGTAACAAAATTCCCTTCCCACATAGATCAACACTGTAGCTTCCCATTCTGCCAGAAATCAGTAGGGAAGAGTTCTTCAGCACAGCTCAAATCTGTCATTAACAAAGTTTCAAACAAAACCTGTCGAGCATGAGAGCCTGAAACAGATTTCACAACAGAAGTTTTTATGTTTAGTTTTATTTGTCACTTTTTTCAGGCTCAAATTTCCCCCTTCTCATACTACTACAAAGCACAAGATTCAACTCCAGCTAAAGTGGAAGAAAGAGTGGAGTTGCACACTGAGCACAGAGTGAACCACAAGCCAAGAATCTGCAAGATGGTGAAAGGGCCTAGTGGATTTGGCTTCAGCTTAAACATGATCAAGAACAAGCCTGGACTGTTCATCAGTGAGGTACTAATGAAGAAGGAAGCGCAAGGAAAAGCTCGAGTAGTCTGTCAGACAGCTTCCTCCCTTCCATCCTGCAGATAAATATAAGAAAAGCCACAAAAATCTCTTCTCCAGTGCTCTCAGATAAGAGCTATACTTCTCCTTAAGTCACAGTGACATTTCTGGCCTAACAGAAAAAATAAGCACCAGGAGATTCCTCATTCTAGACATCCAGAGGGAAGGGGAATCCAGTTTTTGCTTTTGCATAATTTTTTGCTTTTATTCCTGAGGCAGGCACACTAAAATTAGTATTTCTGACTGTAGAACATCTTAATTACAGCAGAGACACCTTTGCCCCCCCCGCCCACCTTCTCTGAATTCCACAGCTGGTGAAAGTCAAAATTCTGCAGTCTCAAATTACATCTGTGACTTGGAGTTCCACTCATCACTAAGGAATCTGTGAAACGTAGTAAAGTTAACTTCAAAGTTATTGGACAGAGACCTGCAAACAGTAAGAAAACTGTTTTTCCACTCGTCTTCATGGTTCTACCATGTCACATTTCTATAATGCAAATCTATCAAAATCAAGATGCATCCTAAAATCTCAAACTGAGGACTCCATGTTTATTATGTTTAGGCCCATTGCCCCTCCAAATTCATTCCTGCCCCACGATTCTCCCCTTCCCCATGCTTATTTCACCATCCTGTAAGGAAAGCAGCAGCACAGCAGTGTAGCTAACCCTCAGTTGTTAATGCATCTTTCCAAATTTTATGCTTTGAACTTGCCTCTGCAGGTAAAAAACCACGGGCCAGCCGACAGGGCAGGGGTAGAAAACAACGACTTCTTGGTGGAAGTGAACGGAGTGAACGTGATCAGCGACCCCTACAACGAAGTGGTGGCAAGAATCCAAAACAGTGGTGACAGACTAACACTGCTGGTGTGCAGCAAAGATGCTTACAGGTACTTCCAGGGCCAGAACATTCCCATCACAGCCTCGATGGCAGAGCCAGCCCATGACACTCCCGAACCTCCTGCTTACACAGAAAACCATCTGTCAGAGCCAGAGAGAAACTCACCTGAACCAAGGGAAAGGGTGAGTGATACCGCATTAAGCAGATGCTGAGGAATCACATAGGGGATAGGAAAACAGCTTTTTTCAGGTAGTGTATTTTTCCTGAGCTAGGAATTTTAACTTGAGCCTGGATTTTTGCAAGTTGTTAAAAGAGAAACTGCTAATTATCATAAACAACTCTTCCCTTCCCCACACATAATACAGGTGAGTATCTTTAATGGAAGATTAAATCACACAAAGAATGCACATACCAGAAATTTTATGGAACAAGATAATCCAAACATGGTAATCCTTAACGATGACGGGAAACAGGCAATACAATTGTGGAAGAGCAGGAAGAAGTGCTTAAATACATCAAAAACATTAAAAACTTTTTGTGAAAATCAGGTAGAATATTTCAAAGTTGATCATTTTGGAGAAGGAACAGCAACTGATAGATTATGATGACATTTTCTAGAGAATGTGTTGATTTGCAATTATTTTACTCATTTCATGCCGTTAGAAAGAATCTGAAGCATGACAGAAGTCAGGAAAGCAGGAAGGTATTTCTTCTCCAAGCAGTCACTTTTAACCCTCCGTGTGGTCAGTCTTAAATATTTAAATGCTTGTTTTCTGATCATGCAGAAGGGACAGACAAGGAAGAATAAGACCAATACTGTCACCCGTTCATTTTTCATTAGCCCTGTCTGCAAGTGTCCAGCTACACGTTTTTTCAAGAATTTCTTAGTCCCCAAGCTGCATTTTGCAGGTCTGAAGTTAGCACCACTTTTGTGTTCAAATTCAGCAGATACAGGAATTCAACAAGAATCCTCCAAATTTCCCTCTAAATGTACTTAACCAAAAAAGCCCTTCGACAAGAAAAATTATATTTGTTGGCTCGTTCTGCCATCTAAACAAATATGTGATTAGTGCAAATGAAAACAGGAGTCCTTCAGAGCACTGCAGACTATCAACCATGTTTACAAACTGAAAATAATCAGAACACATTTGTTACTCCTCTGCAGGCAGACTCATCCTCCTCTTCACAATCAGCTGCCTCCACAAGAGCTGCCAGTTACAACGAGGACGACACAAAGTTGTGAGGAGACAGCAACAACAACAAAAAAGAAACCACCTGAATCTTTTTTCAGTAATTTTTTGCTACTACACCTCCCAGAACTTGGCTATTCCAAGGAGTGCCATGCCTGTAAAGGACTGCAGTCTCTTCCTGAAATAAACACTTCAGTGTAACTTGCATCCATTTAACACCCTGCAATTGTACTTCATTGGCTTTCTGCCCTGTAAAGTGGGCAGTTACTCACTTAGTGATAAAAAGGCTTAAATAACTACAAGGATATAATTAAGGACTGCAGAAGATGGAAACGTTTTATAGATTTGTAAGTATCTCAGCCTTTTAAAGATAAGCTCTTAATAAAGAGCAACTGATTTCTCCCCAGCTCCCAGGAGAGGCAGCTCTCCCCCTAATCCAAGTCCATCAACTCAATCTCAGTGGCAACTCTTTGCTGTACTTCCAGCAGTACAACTGCTGTGAAGTGGCACAAGCCAATGTACTCTGTGCATTATGCTCCTTTTTCCTGCTAACACTGCAGAAATTCCTTTCAAACACTAAGCTCACTTTGTAATTCATAACTCAAGATTGTTAAGCACTGTTCTCTCTCCTCTGCTGTGGATCATGGTGGTTAGAAGAGCACAACATAATTCAGTTGTGCAGGTTTGTCTAACCCCAAGTCAACACCACATTGACTTGGATGTGACACAAATGGTTCTGTAACACTGCTGCTGTTATACTTTGCTTCCTTGCTGTACACCAAAGACAATACAGAAATAAACTGTTTAGAGTGGTTATTTTTTCCCTCTCCAGATCTTACTCTTACTCCCTATGATTTATGTTCCAGAACAATTACAAAACAAACAAAGCCCAGGAGAGTGGCTGTGGGAACCTACAAGTTTAAGTCACATGGATAAAATTTGTAACATACAACATAAATAAGACATGGCTGTGGTCTTTGACTTCACACTGAACTGCAGCAAAGAGGAATCCAGAGCCTCAGTTACATTTATGCAGAGACAGGAAAGAAAGTTGAGACTCAGCAAGAGAAAGCTGATCTCCAGCTCCTAAGGACAGCAGGCACTAATGATACACACCAGCACACACTCCAGACAGAAATGGAGTGAAATCCTCTCCACTTCTGCCAGGTAGTAAATCCTAACCACTTTCTAGCTGGCATCCAGCCAAATCTTAGGGACTGACAAAAAAACAACGGTGATGCTTGCGTGAGATATTACAAAAGCTTATTTAATTCCACAGACTCAAACATTCAATTCCAGGATTGCCGTCCTCTGAATCCCAATTATGAACCGATTTTCAAAAGAAAAATCACATTTCCTTGGTGCCTTCTATGAAGATGTTGTTCCAACATCTAGAGGTGTTCCCCCAGATAGCCTATCATGCAAGTTCTGATGTCCCTGGGCAGTGGTGCACCAGGGAGTGCCCTTATTGCTTGGCAATGAACTGTCTCACACGTTCAATACGTGCACCCTCTTCCCCTCCAGCTGTAGCACCTTAACAAAACCAGCCACAGAGCTTGATGGTGACATGTATGGAAGTTCAAAGAACCAGTTATGCTGCTGGAACACACAAAAGAGTCCTGGTTCTCTTCACGTTGTGCAGTCCACAGGAGTTGCAGCAGTGCAGCTGAAAGGACAGAGAGCAGTGCGTGGCTGCAGTTCTCACTCAGAGGGCCATGTGCTTTTCTGGGGCTTGTTTGTGAGCTAAATAGAGAAAGAGGATACTGGAGAGGGCACTAACTAGGAATATGACATCAAACCAACGATGGTAGAAGTTGAACTGGAGCTCCCCCAGGACTTCTGTGATGATGGTGCGGTACTCCGGGGGCATGCTCATCCGGATCAGGAGCACCGACGACACAAAGTACATACCCTGCAAATTAACACAGCTAATTAACACAGGGAAAGCAGCTACTGCTTCACAACAGGCTATGTGGCTAAAAGGGGTCAGCACACAAAGACCTTATGACATGTATATGCACACATATATAAATGCATAAATGCACACGGGTGTGCCCGCGGCTCTGCGTACTCACCATTATCTGTGCTAAAAGCAGAACGATGACATTGGAGGACTTGCTGCTGGAAATGGCATAGAAGAACTAGGAAAAAGAAAAAAACAAAACACTGGAAATAAGCAGTCAGATAAATCTGACGTGCCTTAGGACAGCATGAAAGGTACATCCCATTCAATACCTTTTCACTAGGAAAAAAAAAAACAATAAAAAAATACATTCTAGAAGGCTACCTGTATCTTACTTTCATAAACCTGCAGTGTTAAGTCTTAAACATCTCCCAAAGCCAGCTGTGCCATGTGGTATAAGTCACAGCACAATATATAGAGAAGTTTAAGCTTAGATATCAAAGGTCAGGTCAAGACATTGAGTCACATGTTTCTTGAGTTAATCCCTTTCCAGTCCTACCAGCAGCTCAAATTAAGTAATCCAAATGCTTTTAATCACCATCTCATCAACCTTACTGATACGTCTCGGTTACAGCAGCATTTTGAACCCTTGCTTACATTTAACATCTTATTTAACATTTGCATATCTCTTCCTGACAGTCATAACTGAGACTGAGTGGGGAAATTTACTGCAAAAGGTATTTTTCCTACCTTCCTCCTGCTGCAAGTACTTATATTCAGACATTTAAATATAAATGTATTTTCAAAGTTTACACAGTATTTGTCCCATCTACAGGTGAAGATCTGATAATGGATTTCCAGATCTAAAACCACTTAAGAGCCCTGGTTCTTACCTTTGTAAGTGTGATTAACAACCCTCTAATAGAGGTAACAATGATTATCCCAACAAGAATAAAGGAAATGTGCTGAGACCAGAATTTGACCTGTATCAAAAAGAAGAATACAGTTAAAACTTTAGAGCTAACCCCATTGACACCACACTGTATAGCTGCCAATTCTTCAGGGTCTTTGTATTTCCTAATGTACAGATATCCATTGTAGACAGGTTTATATAACAGACATTTTCACAAACCTATTAGCAACGGTTTACTCCAAACACACAAGAAAAACAGATTTAGCTTACACCAACAACAAAGAACCCCATTCTCACAGGGAGATATTTCAAAAGTGTAAATGACAGAACACCCGTTTGCATAAGCAATCAAAATTACTCTGTAGCTGATATGTATTAATCTAAGCAAGTTGTCTAAAGTGACTCCATTTCTCCAAAACATAAAAAGCTAATCAATGCCTCTCTGGCAAGACCACATCACCATCTCAGCATAGAGTCAGTGTGAAAGGAACGTTCATGGTGCATTTTCCCTTCCTCTTCAATAAGTCAAAAGCCAAAGACACATTCCCAGAGTCCATCACCTTCTCCCTGTCAGCAGTATGATTTTATTTGGATAAGATATGAACTGCTGAAAAGGCTGTCAGAATTAGTAAAGACTCACATCAAACTGGATTCCCAGGTAATTTACAGTGATCTCAATTCCTCTTGTGACTGGATCAGTCTTCCCCACACGGTCAAACACAATATTGATGGTTGCCTGCGAGAAAGAGATTGGATTTACCTTCAAACAAAAAGACAAAAGCATTTCTCTCTGTCACAGTGAGACAAATTCATGGCTTAGGTTGTATCACTGAGGAAAGGGGCAGGGCGTGGTCGGATTGTCTAAGAAGGTGCAAAATGCACACTTGTAAGACTTGCTTGTCTAATGCCAAATGTCTGCACAGAAAGACAGATCCAGAGCTTTATTTCAGCCAAGGGCCAGTTTCTTTCAGAACTTCCAGAAGCCCAATTTTAAGGAAACTAAGAGCATTACTTAACGAACTGCACGTATCGCACAAGCTATGCAGGGTATGACATAAGTCCACATAAAATGCAATAAAACGTTTACATACCATGAAGATTTTCCAGACACAATAGATGGAGAAAAAATAACCCATAAAGTTGAAGTATTTTCCCTGGAAAGTTTTGGAATACTCTATTCTCTCCTGGAAAACACAAAAGGAGGGAAGGGAACAGAACACAAAAAAATACATCATTTTCACAATCACTCAAAACATAAAATTCTAATGGAGCACTGATAGTAGCAAACATAGCCCTACCTTCTACACCTTTAATTCAAATGTTACTGAACTCATAAGTGTTAATTCAGAAGCTTCTGAATGGCTACTAGGGATATGGGGCAGACTCCAGGACGTATCAGAACTGGAAGGAAACTGTCCTCTAGACCCAAAGCTAAAGAAACATATCCTCACTCCGCTGTATTACAATATTTCAACATTTACCTGTCGAACAGACTTCAATCTCTGTAGCACACATTCTCTTTCAAACTACTCTGACCTCCCAACACCCATCTGGGCAGTTATTTGCTGTGTACCTTTGTTGCATGCAAGTCAGCAGTTTCCAGAAAAAGCTGCCGACTCAATTCTTCCAGGGCATCCACTTCTTGCTGGATAAGGGACAGATCTGGCAAACCAGCATAGTCAAGGCTAGAACACATCACATATTCTTAGCTAAAAACAGAACATTCTCCACCTTCAGACCAAGGGCCACATCTAAAGGTTTGATCACTTTTTTGATCCAGATCAGCTTTTTGATTCAGTCTTCATGTTCCTTGTTAACACGGCACCCAAAGAAATCCCAAGGATGTACATATTGCACACTGTTCCAGTTTAAGAAGGTAGGCAGTACACACTATTTAGGCAGTCATGCAACAAACTCTTTATTTCCCTGCCTGGGGAACACATCACAGAATAGAACCAGAGCTCTCAAAGGCTGCTGCTCAGTGTCCCTTGTCACTGAAGTGCATCCCACAGTATGTCACACTCACATCAGTTTCATAAACAGAACTGCTGAGTAACTGCCCCAAGAGATTAGTGGTTACTACAAAGAGCCAAATTCTGACTTTAACAGCTAGTGGGAAAGAAGAGGAAGAAGAATCCTCAGTCTTAAATATGCAAACTGCACACTTCAAGTGATCTGACAGAAATCATTGGTAAGTAACTAAGTTAGATAAATACAGCCCCTTGTCTATTCCCTTTTCTCCTTCTACTCCTTTCTCCTGGGTAGAACAACTTCCATTCACCTGTTCCTATCCAGCACAGGATGCAGCAGAACAGAAAGCTGACTCTCACATCAGTGATGTGATGGGGCAGATGGCTGCAGTGTCACACCAGAGATGATCAGAGGGCTGGAGCACCTCCTAGAAGACAGGCTGAGAAAGCTGGGGTTGCTCAGCATTGAAAATGGAAAGCTCCAGGGAGACCTTATAGCAGCCTTTCAGTACCTAAAGGGGCTTCAAGAGAGCTGGAGAGGGACTTTTGATGGGACTTTTGACAAGGGCATATAGTGATAGGACAAGGGGGAATGGCTTCAAACTGAAAGAGGGCAAGATTAGACTGGATATTAGGAAGAAATTCTTCACTGTGACAGCGGTGAGGCACTTTGCCCAGAGAAGTTCTGGATGCCCCATCCCTGGCAGTGTTCAAGGCCAGGCTGGATGGGGCTCTGAGCAACCTGGTCTAGTGGAAGGTGTCCCTGCCACTAGGGGGGCTGAAACCAGATGATCTTTGGGGTCCCTTCCAACCCAGGCCATTCCATGATTCTGTAAGTGTGCACATCTGCCCTCTGATCTGCTGTACACCTCAGTCATGGTCATGCAACAGCACATTCATAGGGCAGGGCAGAAACACACAACTTCTGCCTGTGTCTAAGTAAAACCGTGTCCAAGAAGCCCAGGCCAAAAGGTCAGACAGCACAGTGCTACAGAGCAAACCTCCCAGGAGACATCAGGCTTGAAATGTGTTGAAACACAAATGCTTTGTGACTGTCCCAACTAACCTTCTACCTTTCAAAACAAAGCAAGCTGGATTCACCTCCCAAGGCAGGTGCCAGCATGCAGATGAAGGATACTTTCACTGCCTGGAACAGATGTTGTAACACTCTTTATCATTCCCCAGAAACCAGTGGGTTTGTTATGCACTTCTCCTCTCTGGAACATTGTCCTGTGAGCCACTGCTATCCTGAAAGAACAGAAAACACAAGTCCTTAGGAATGAAGTATTTTTATGAAAAATCACAACAAGAAAAAAGAAAAAAATTCACCAGTTTCTTAAAAGACAGTGCTAAACTAAATTCACTGCAAACAGATGCCCTCTTTTTTTCCCTCTAAGCACCAACCTTGCCACATAAAATTATCCTGATTAGCTCTGGAGTTGAGCCCAGATCTAATCAAGCAAGATTCAATGAGACGCTTCCCGAGTCTTCCATTCAGGATCCTGTTTCAATCCTTAAGGGGATTTAAACCCAGTTAAAAATAAGAATTCAAATGGATTTCTCAGTCATATGATTAGTTTCTTTCCTTTCCTAAAACACATGACTGTGCTATCTCAAGTTCAGGAACTGGAAGACCTCTCATGTTCCTCTCTCCCTTTGGACACCTCTTCTTTATCACATCCACCTTCTCCACGGACCTGTGAGCACTGGATGGTGTGCACAGCACTCTCTGATATGCTGTCACTCACTACTGGGCTGCATGACAAGCTGTTATGAAGCAGAAATACACAAATCCACTATTGGACTGAACAACAGGCGATCCCAACGTGACTCCTGAACCTCATTCCAACAGCACAGCTGCCCATCGTCCCTCACACTCCCCTGTGCACCACAGCGTGATCCCCACCAGCAGTGCTGGCTTCTGGTCTCGTTCCCTTGCATTTCTTCCCATGGGAATTTGTGAGCCAGCTATCCACTCCTAAGCTGAAAACTATGCAAAGGATTGTCAAGGTGATCCGTGATTGAACAGCGTTTAGGTCCTTTCCTGCAGCTGCAGCCAGTGTTGCTACATTTGGTGCTGAGCTTCAAGGTTGATAAGCAGTGTAATAAAAAAAAATTTACAAAAATTGTTTCATCATTTCTCTTTCACATCCAGCAGAAGAAACACCCTTGGGGCACCCAACTTGACACACATAAAAGCACACACGGCCACAGACCACAAATAACAGAGATCTCAGAACAATCCAATTCATCCCGAAAGCTGCCAAATGTAAGGAATGCATTTTTAATCCTTGCTTTCTTCCCAGAACCCGAGTCACATGTTCCATCCCACATGATCCACAGCACTGCAGCAAAAATGCAGCAATGTCAAGGTGAAGCACAAGGCTACAGATATACAAAGGCAAATCTTTTCTTTTGAGAGATGACAGGGATCTCTGTATCCACCCAGTAGTCAGGAGTCTTGGAGACCTCACAGAAAAGATGCACAGGTAAAACCCACACACTTTGTCAGTGTAGATTTGTGATGCATCTATGCCAGGCAGCTGATCTGACTCTAACATGAAGCCCAACGAAGCAATGGTGTCACAGAATCTAGGCAATTCTAACCTGAGGCTAAGTTATGTCATACCTGCAAGGATGAGTATAAAGAACCTGACAGCCCTAGAGGTGAGTTTCCGTAATGTCAAGATCAGCAAAAAGATCAAAAAAGTTTTATGTTCTATTGCTTTACAACTGTTGTGTGCACTGGTAAGTTCTGAACTATCAGTGGCACTGAGAAGGTGGCCAGCAAGTAACTGAGAGTTTATGGTACTGTAGCATTTACCCTACACTGTAAAATACTGCTATTCCCACTTGTTCTGCAAATGATGTGCAATGCATTTAGACTGGTAGATAGCTAACTTTTCAAATTCTGCTTTATATGAGCAGTCCAATTATGCAAGCCACTGCTCCCTGTCAAAGTAAAAAGAGAATAAAATCTACAGAATTCAAGCTTCTGCTATTTCTTCCACATTTCTGAGACTACATAGTTTTGGGGCTTGTTTGGGGTTTGTCTGGGTGTTTTTAAACACATATACATGAACTTCAGTATAATTCCCAAGTGATTAATACATGTTAACACGGCTCTTCATAATGGTTAGAAAATTGCTATATGCAGAATATTTCATGGCCATAGAAAGGTGAGAAAGTTGAAAGTCCCAGACATCCTTACTTTTACTCCAATATCACTCTCCCTGGACCAGAGGTCCAAAAACTCTGTACAAAACAAAAGAGCACAATCTCTTTTAAGTCCAAAGTTGGTATTTTAGTAGGCTTCCAGTCAATTAAATCAATTGAACCCGAGTAATTAAATTCTCTCACTACTTACCATCTCACACATGACCACAAATATGCAGTTAACAGTTGTTCACCACTTAACATTTTCCAAGGGGAAGGAGGTTATGCTTTAACTACACTTTCAGCTGCTAATACTGTTTAGCAGATAAACATGCTGGTGATAAATTCAGCAAGGTTAGACTACCTAAAAGCTCCCTTGTTTATTTTAAAAGGTTCCATTAAAACAACAGGGCACCAAAAGTAAAGTTTATGGGGACTGCTGTGAGAATTCAGTGTCAGACAGTCAAACCTTTGAATTGACTGTGGTAATTGTATTTATTCTGCACAATCAGTAAGGCATGCAACACATAATTTGTAATGGCAGACAAAAACCTTTTCAGTGTAAATGAAATGGCACTGTTTCCAAAGCAGTTTTTTAGTTTGGGGTACCTGGAATAAGCCAAACCAGCACAGGTAGAGTTCTGATGGCACACTTATGTACTACACTATATTCACATTAGCAATATTTTGCAATTCTGCAAAACTTATCTAATGTAAACCTTGCCATTTGCAAGAATATAGCTGTGTCCACAGCAGCTCACTGCCCTGCTTCAGTTTTGACCAGAACCACCAGATCCACACAGCAGAGAAGTGTCCCCCACGTATGGACCATTTCTGTCCTGACACCACCAGTAAGAGCCAGCTGCAGTGGCCTCAGGGTTCTGACTCAGCAGAGAGAAAGTTGCCCACCCTACAGACTAGTTATGCTGCCACCAGAGAGTTACAAATTGTCTTGGAAGCCTAATCTGTGCCACTGCACTCACAAAGGACACTATTTTGTGCACATGTCTGGGAAAAAACCAAAGTCATGTATCAGGCCAGAACAAAACACCACACACAGCTCACCCCAATTCAGTCACCTGTTTCACTGGAACACATAGCCCTGACAGGACTAACAATTTTGGTGATTTCAAGAACCACACTGACTGAAAATCCTTGAAATAAATAATTTCGTGCTACTGCTGCCTTCTCACCTTTTTTTCTTGCTAACAATCATGTCCATAGTCTGAAGGAGTCGTCGCTCCAGAGCCAGAATATCTGCATCTGTCACATTCCTGCAAAATGAAGACACCCAATTAGGCCTGCTATCCCATTTCAGAGGAGATGTGCACGTGCCCACGAAACAAAGAAGGGAGAAGCCTGTATAAGGAGAATATCCTTCAGCAGTGGAGATGATTCTAGCACACAGACATGACGATAGCTAGGTTCAGAAAAAAAGGAACTTGAAACAATGACACAGGAAAAGCAGAAGAATAATCTAAAAAAGCTGGACAAATATTTCATAAGGTTGCAGTTACCTGAGAAAGTAGGACATGTAAGTGTATGGACAGTTGACAGCCCCAAATCCTGACAGCAAAGCCATGAGTGTCACCCCAATCACACCAACGCGGCTGATGAGCTGTTCTATAGACAGGATTCCTGAGAGAGGGAAAACATGGCATTAGTAACCTTGCTCTCTTCACTCTGCTCCACACTTGGTGCCTTCCCAACACAGTACAGAGCTCCTTCATTAATCCAACTGCCTTCTCCCTGCAATCACCACAGGGAAGGACAGACAGGGACTGTGAAAAGAAAGGAAGTCTCTCTCAGAAATCATGTTACCATGCTTAGAAACAGGGATGGGAAACCCTGGCTATGGAGAAACTTAAGACAGATACAAGGAGAGGAGTAACAGTCAAAATTTCGGTTCCAAGTTAATAAAACATTATGATTGCCCTTTGCTGAGGTGGGAACATGGATCATCCACCAGACACTATAAAGGAGACATCCTCCACAGACACTTCTGCAATTATCAGGATTAGAGTCACCAAACCAGTTGGTCCCGGCAAACTGGCCTAAAAATGCCTGGAGACAGAGAGGAATCCCTATTCTGTGAATTGTCTTTAGAAGTGACCCCTCCACATCAGATCCAAGTTGTGCTTGTAGCAGAGTGGAGGTATGACAGTATGGGAAGCTTAAGCTGCTCCTGGCTGTTCAGCATTCATCTGGTTGACACACACAATTGTTGAGGTGAACGCCAACAAGGTATTCCACCTGAGCACCAAGTGGACTCTGGAACATGTAATTCAGCATGAACATCAAGCCTGTGCTGTAACCAACACCAAGCACTGAAGCTGCATTTATTCTTAAACACAGATCTCAACCTGTCTTCTCGGGATACGGTGCCACGTCCTAGTAAACAGCAGTCACTTTTGAGGGAGGTAGTTACAGAGCAGCTGCCACACACAGCACATTTGGAGCTTATACGATTGCAAAGCTGAGATGGCCAAGCGCCAAGCCACATTTCATGCTTCAGAGAAGTGGAATAAATGATGAAAACAAGGCAAAAAGACTTCACAAAGGGAAACCGAGACACACAGTCATGTGCAGCTGCATAGAGATTTACACGAGCTACAGAATGTGCTACAATACACTGGCCTTTTGCCCCACACACTGTCAGACCGCAGCAGCTAAAAGAGAGGTGCCTTCAAAATGACATGACATTCCACTGGTTAGAGCAATGCTTCCCCACAACACTCACAGCAGCCCTCTTGTGATCAGGCCAGATAAAGTGAATGTTTTCTCAACTCAGATAAAGGTAAGAGCTTTATCAGAATACTAGTATGTAATTAAGCATAACCTTCCTTCTACTATGAGCTCCCAAAGTCAGGATGAAACCCTGCAGCAGCCCTGTCTGTACAGGCAGGACAGTAGCACCACAGCAGTGAAGCAGGGAATCCTTTGCTCTAACCTTATGTCTACACCTGGTAGGATAAGGCACTGTGCAACTGTTTGTGTTATCATCCCAGAAAGGAGAAGTTAAAAACAGAAAACACCCCACCACCAGTTCTGCAAATCTTCACATGCTGGGTAGCCTCCCAGAACCTTCTCAGAGACCCGAAAAGGATTACCTAAACCCCGTGGCTAAGTTCCCATTGGGTTATCCCATTCTGCCAACTCAAGCACCTTCTGCAGCTCACAGTGGATGCACTTTTTCCTTGGCAGTGGAACACTGGGCAGAGGGATCTGCACTGTACACTATCTGCTGTATTTCTGAGGCAAATGACACAATTACAAAACACGGATACACGCTCCCTCTCAGAAAAGTTTTACGATGACAGATGAAAGGGTGAGCAGCCCCTACAGCAACTGTGTCCTTCGATTTTTTCTCTTACAGATTAGTACAGAATGAAGCAGCTTCCTAGAGAACAGAAAGACTAAGGTGACCATGATGTATGCAGACAGAATTCACCAATTTGAGGGAAACTGGGTGAAATTCACCTGTTGAGAACAACACACAAATGATTTTCCAACACAGGCTTTAAGGGCAATGTAAGTTCCACAGGAAACCCGGGTGACAAATAGTGTGGTTCTACAGTGTTACAGTCCTTCAGCACACTTGGGTGCCTCAAGGATTCTCAGCACAGCCAGGCACGTGCTAACAAGCTCTGTTGGACCCAAACAAGCCCAAGAGTACACACACTGCATTGGTTCCATGACTGCTACACAACTATGCCCAAGCTAATTCTGCACATAAATAGCTCTGGCACCCAGCAGGACTCACCAACTCACCCTCTAACATCAGGCAACTGCACTGCCCCTGGGCTCAGGCAGTGCATGGATCTGTACCAAAGCCAGCACATGCTGCCAGGCCTGTTGCTGGCCACAGTCTGGTGTTTAGGCTCCCCCTGACATGTTTTGTCAACTGGACAGCCACCCATGCTAAACTGATCTGATTTCAGCCACGAGAAACAATAATCTGACAGAAAAAAAAGTCAGGTGAAGGGTCGGTTGATGATTCACTTCTTAAATAAACTAGCTTTGGTGTCCACAATAAAAGAAATAAATGAACAAAAATTGTGATCAACTTTCTGTGGAGATTTTTGTGTCCTCAAAAAGTGTCCTTTCATCCTTTCATAGTCTAGGTTCAGTAAGGACTCACTCACTTCCCTCAGGCTTTCCTGTGGTAATGAAAGAAAACTCATGCAAATAATCCAGGTGTATCCACCCATTTCTGTCAGTCTGACAACCCTCAGGCTGCAGATTTCAAAGCAGAGTAGACCCTCAGTTTCAAGAGCTACTTTCTACAGTCCCAGCTGTAGAGATGAGATAATTATAGCTCCAAGATAAAAGAGATAACAAAGGCCATTTGCAGGAGGGAAGGAATCGGCAAGAAAATGAAACTCACCATGTTTTGGGCTGAGGATAGGAAAAGGATCCCCCAACTTCCAGAAGAAATACATGAACGTCAACCACAGAACACATGCAAAAAGGAGTTTCTGTCTGTGCACTAATGGAGAGAGGAAAAAAACCAGCATTTAAAAGAGGTTTTCCCTTTAGGGCTTTTTCTAGCTTGCAAAATTGCCACACTGGTCTAAAGGTTACTTTGAGCACAGGTGGACAAAGCAGGTGAGAACTGACAGAGCTACAGCTCACGGTGTGCATCCCTTCACTTCCCACAGTCTTTCTGATGCTGTGTGACGTGAAACTTAAATATTTCATCTTCATGGCAAAACTAGACATTTAATACCACCCGCCATGCCGAAGCTTAACACAAAAGAGCAATGAATATCAATAGCTCAAGGGTTAAGTGTCCATTAGAGCATGGAAGAAGACTCATCCAGACAGTAGAAGCCAAAAAAAAAAAAAAAAGATATTTATTGAGCTTTTCTGCCTCAAGACTGATTTATTTAGCTTCTCTGCCTCATTTCTTTTGCCCCCTAGCAGAACAACACAGCCTTGCCATGGGTTCCAGAGCCTGGTTGCAAGCTTAAAATTGCAAAGGAACAAATTCCAGTAATACTACCCTACAGTGCCCAACTTAGTCGAAACCCATGAAGAAAAGTAACATTTGTTGGAGTCATGTAAAGCATTTCCTGACTGTTCAATGAACAGTTCATGCTAAAGCATAAAGTTCCAAAGAGAAGCTATAGAGGCAGAAGAAAGCCAGAGGAAGGAGGGAGCAATGAGGACAGCGACCAACATATCTCTCTGTCCCAGAAAAGTTATTTCTCACTTGTATCCCCAGTCCCAAGTTCTCAGTGCCACTGTCACAAACCAAATACTCACACAATCTGATATTGCTCACAACAAAGTAACCAATGTAGAAGGGCACCATGAAGACCAGGATGAGCAAAATGACACACAGGTTCAGCTTCCAGTGAAAATATCGAGAGCTGAAATAAAGCCAAAATACTGATTAGCATGATATCATAATACAACACATCCCGCAAAGAAAATCACATGTCAAACAATCCTTTCAACTACATCATGCGTGGAATAATATTAGCCTAGCACACAGAATATAGTGGATTTTTTTGCATTTTTTAGGGTTGGGGAGGGAGGCTTGTTTATTTTGGGGTTTTGTTTGGTTTTAATTTTAAATACAGAGCTCAAGGATGTGTATTTCAAAATTAACAACTATCCAGAAAAACACACTGGGCTACTTTATCAAATACTATATTTTCTGTGGTGACTAATGCTGGTTGCAGCATGATTCATGGGACTGACTGCTCATCTAGTTGAACAGTAAATCAAAACTAAGTATAAGCAGTCATTAATACTCTAATGAATGGTTGAGTCAAAACAGGGCTAAATATTGAAAAGATTAAAAATATTTAATGTTGATAATTCAACATGTTTCCCTTTGGAGTGAGTTGTCTCATCTGCAAGACTTTGCAAAGCAAGATTTTTAAGGAGTATTGATCGTTTTGATCAAATGAGATTGGTCAAATGCAGATGAGATTCATTTGGGCTGAACTAACTTTTCACTTCGCTTGAATAGAAAAACACATGTCCCATTCCCAGCATTAACTCATATCCTCTTTGTGCCTCAGGGAAGAAGAAATTATGAGGATCCTTGTCACTTTTTTCCTAACTAATTCAGAGACAAACATTTTCATCTATCCCTTTAGTGAAGTTTATAAAAACATTCTCCTAAGTGACTTTCTGGTTGCAAGGCGTACACACTAATAACATACAGTAGAACTAACATTACCTTTTATCAGCTCTGTATTTCTTGCCTTTCAACTCCTTTGACTGCTCTCTTATACTAGTATGATGAGACAGAATAAGTAGAAAACCAACTTAGCCTCTACATGTTACTGTTCTATCTCCTCTTTACTACTGACTTCCAAAGCAGACAGTCTTTAACATCCTCTTTACACAGAAGTTCTCACCCTATGGTCCAGGAAGGATGCACCTTTGATTCACAAATCCTCTGTTGTTACAGACCTTGCTTTCACTCCACAATCCGCTTCACATCTTATTCCCTGCTCTGACCAGCACAGAAAAACTAGTGCTTAAAGTTTCTGTAGTCCTTTAACATCTGTAAAAAGTGCTCTTCAGCAATGATCTAAAGCTCCACAATACTCCCATAAAAGAAACTGTTCCTTTTAACTTCACAAATGGAGAAAGTCAAAGACTAAAGCCTTGCACTAAGGATCTAGACCACACTAATAGTGATTGCATAGAAAATCGGAAGCTTACGGATTCTAGTCTCATGTTCTGCCAAATTCATAAATGTTGCTGCACAGACACCTTCATTGAGTTGTTGGCAGTTTCCTCACATGTTTTCCCCAATCCAAGACTAATCCATTAGTTCAGAAGTTAGCCTGAAGATGGTGTAGAACATGAGGTAGGCTAATCCCTGAGGGGGCTCCCAGACTCACCTGCTGTTCAGCACTCCCAAAATCTCAAAGATGATGAGCTCAAACATGGTACAAGAGAAGGCAAAAGTCACAGAGAAGATCACCTGGACCACATACTGTCGAACCTGCAATGCAGAAAACAATCCAGAGACATCAGGCATTTCCATTCCTGGAATGGCTTTCTGATATCCCTCAGGTAGCAAACACAAATCACAAGGCATGATGATGGCCCACAACCAGGTCTCTTGCACCCTTCCTTTTATCTAATTAGGGAGAAACCAAAATCCTCTTGGAAACCACAGGGAAAACTCATAAGCTAACAGAGCTCTTGGACATTAACCTGAGATTTAAAAACAAAATCCACATCAAACTGTTGGGTCTGAATCTGGCTCACACTTAAGCCATCTCTGACCTAGACCACACTCACATACTGGTCTAGGAATAAGAGAACGTGGCATTTTTATCCCATCCCATCCTCACAACTAATTTAGCCCCAATGAACGCATCTCACTTAGTTTAAAGTTAACCACTGAATTTCATTTTGTCTCAAAAATTTTACAATTGTACAAGATAGGCCTGCTCAAGCAAAAAGCAAACCAGTCTCCTATTACCCCTGCATATCCTGCATATTTCTTTTTATTTAACACTAGCCAACATGGAAACTTTCACTGGCCCCAGAGGAAGCTGCTTCCTCAGATATCTGGGAGTCTTTCAAACAGAAGCACAAGAGGAAATTCAAAAGAAAGCAACTGCAGACACAATTCAAAATAAGAAAAAAGGAGATTAAAGAGAGGAATAAGGCTAAATGCAGTTTTAAAAATATTTCTATAATTGGGAGTAATTTTGAAGACACAGACTTGTAACAAAAGGTTCCTTCTCACCTCGTAATCCTTGAAGAGCTTACGCATGAAGAACAGCCACCCAAATCCAAAGAACAGCACCTGCAGAAGAGATGAAGCACTGAACACCTGCAGAACACAAAGCCCCTTCCCTACTGATTGTACATGAAACACAGGGAAGGAAAAGAGCTGGGCCAAAGCACCCAAGATCCACAAAAGTCTAAAACTTGCCACAGTACCATGGAAGAAAGTGTATTTTACATATCCAAGTGTAGCAGATACAGAAGGCTATGGCCTTATGGAGGATCCAGTCAAGACAACCCAGTTCTGCATTCCTAAATTCTCAGAATTCCTTAGTTCCTGGCCTGCCAGGATCCCTTGCACTGTTGATTCTTGTTTCACTCTTCTCATCTACGGAATTAAAGCCCACAGTTTTTTTACAGGAAACACAGTAATGGAGGCAAAGCAAACACCTGAATGTCCAACACATACACATCTTCTAGAGATGAGTAAATTTTATAAAGAGATCTGCTGTTTCCTTAAGACTAGAAGTGCATTTGATTTTTCTGGAGGGGTCTTCACAGCAAAGCTGTCCCTCACTGACACAAAAGCGAGTGAAAAGTGTTACAAGCATCTGTAAGGCTTGTTACAAGCATCTGTAAGGCAGGGAAAAGGCAGCGCTGAATGCCTCAAACCACAGTCTGGAGCTGCAGAAAGCCACATGGACAAGGAAGGTGAAGCAGGAAAAACCAGTAACACTTTGCATTTCTGCGGCTGTCAGAGCACTTCACAAAATTTGCTTTAAGTTTCAGTACATGCCTGAAGAAACCAACTTAACATCACAGGTATTCTGCAGATAAATGAAACAAAATCAAATTGAGCAAGGTGGCCAAAACTGCAATTACACAGCTGCAGAGAGCAAAAGGGGAGTGTGTTGTCAGGCCCCCTGTGGACAGCTCCATCTACTCCTCACAATACTGAAAAAGGGAGTGTAATGATTTAAAAGAACCCAAGCAAAAAGAGAATTCAGAAGATATTCAGCATCTTTTTACAGAAGTAGCTCTGACCAAGGCAAAGAGCAGAATATGTCAGACATCATGGAATAAAGTCAGTTTATCTCCCCAGAGCACATGGAAAAGGCCAGAGTGTTCTGGTGGAGATGGGAAACTTTCAAAGACAAAACCAAAGAAATGCCTGTGGATTATTTCCCTGCACATCAGGAGTCACCACAGTGGCAAAGGTAACAGACTAACATGATTTACAGACAAGGAATACCTGGAATGCTGGGCAAGGAAGATCAAACACAGGTGCCTTGAAAGAGGAACTGAAATAGGAATGAGGTCGAATGAGGTCTAATGATTGGCAACAGCTGGCAAAACTTGTTGGAGGAGGACTTCAGACTTTAAAGCAGTTGCTTGTAAAAAGGAAAGATATTCCACAAGCCTCCTATCTACAGGTCATAAGTTAAAGAAGCATGATAAGCGAATGAGATTTACATAAAGTAATTCCACATTTTACACTGGAAAGGAGGGAAAAGGTAGAGTCGAACTCTTCAAAAAGAAATCAGTAAAAGAAAAAGATGAGGAGATAAGTGCAATAATAACAGAGAAAATTATAGAAGAAAATTAGGTTTCCCTTGTGTTAGGGACTGTACAAAAGCACAGAAAGACATTATTGTAACTGTTCACAATCTAATCAGGTTAAAGTGATGTATAAAGTCAGCAAAATCTTGAGCATTTAACACATGCAGTGATTTAAACACCTCACTTGATACTGTTGAAGATGATGAGAAGATGAGAAGCTGCCATCAGAAATTAAAGAAAAGCTATTAGATAAGTTAGATCTCAGAATTCAAAGGAAAAAAAAGGGGAAAGTTTTTGTCCTGGGTGAATTGTTAACAGTATCAAAGCTGTGGAAAAGCATGTTATGAGTAAAAATCAAAGCATTATCAAGTAGGAGAACACTGCACTTCTAAGAAACAACCAAAACTGTCAGGAATTAGGGTTTTGCATTAAAGCCTGTAAAGGACAACCAGCTGCTGCTGAGAGGTGAAAGGTTCTCTTTCCTCAGCTCATCCCTCCTCACTACAGAACAAAAATTTCACACCAGCTCAGCAGCTCAGATCCCTCTGTGATCCACTTAAACTCATCTTACCAAACACTGGTGGGAGCACAAAGAGAGTGTGACTGTGGAAGCAAAGAGGGAGCAGAACCTTGCCCCTTTGGCAGAAACAAACAGCTGGACCACCTCAGTTGCCAAAGAGGCAGCCAGGAAGAAGAGGCATTTAGATGCTCACTCAGGAGGAGCAGGAGTGGAAGGTAAAAGAAAACACAGTGGCAAGATAAATTCCTAGCAAAGGAGGTTAAGGAAGAAGGTACTGTTTCCTCACACAAAGCAACAGGACAGTTTCAAGTATGCCAAGACCACAACCCACTTCATAATGATAAAGGCAGGATGACATGAAAAGCTTTAAAGGGCTCCTATGTGAGTTCAGCTGGGGTAAAACAAGGATTAATGGAAAGATGGCAGCAGAAAGAGAAAACTGAAGGAAGTGCTGAACCACAGACAGATCAATGGAGAAGGAGGCACTTGGGATAAAACAGCGGCGTCCTTTTGAATTCCTGGAAGCAGACAACGAAAAACCTTCCAAAGCTGTAAACAAACAGATTCCTCGGGGGTAAACCTGGAACAGAAGAATGGATTGGAATGCGATGGGATAGGCTTTCAGCTGGAAGAGACTCACAGCCATCATCTGGTCCAACTGCCTACATCCAATCTTCTTAAGGAGCACCAGAAACAAACCAAGCCCTAAAGAGAGAACAGCAAGATGAACTCCCCTGCCTGATCCAACTGGGAAACTTTAAACACGCGGAAGTGTATATTGATGTGAAATGTATACAGTGATGAGAAGATGAAAAGCCGCCATCAGAAATGAAAGAAAAGCTAATTAGATAAGTCAGAACTCGGAATTCAAAGGAAAAAAAAAAAAAAGGAAAAAAAAAAACAGGAAAATGTTTGCGCTGGGTGAATTGCTAACAGTACCAAAGCTACACTCGGGCTCAAGAAGTGGAGCGGTATCGCAGGAAAAGCTCCACTCACGCAAAAAAGCTCCATTACGACCTTTATCGGCTGAACCTTTTCTTATGCACCGAAGCCCTGACCTGGCCGCCGCACGAGCGCGGGGGTCACCGCGACACGTGCGGGAGCAGCCCCGGGACGGGGCAGGAGCTCGGGGGTCTCCATATCGCGACACAGCGACAGCGCGACACACACACGGGGGAACGCGGGGCCCACGCGCGCCGGGCGCTGCGCATGCGCATGCGCACCCGCAGGCACCGCCCCTCACGCTCCCGGAGGGGCGGCGGGCGAGGCGGGAACCCCGGGGCGAAGCGGGACCCTCCCGTTCTCTCGCCCTTCTGCCGGCCGGGGGTGGCCTCGCCGAGCAGCAGCACCGGCGGCGGTGGGAGCGGCGGGTGTTACCTGCGAGGTGAACATGATGCCGGAGTCGATGAGGAAGCTCATGGCGGCACCCGCCCCGCTCCCGGCACCGCGCGCGGTGCGCAGGCGCCCGGGGGCCTGCCTGGGGGGCGGGGCCAGGGCAAGGGGCGGGGCCAGTTGCGGGAAAGCTCCGCCCCCCTGACGAGACGAGACGGCCCCCGAGGGGAAACGGGAGTGATCCCGGCGGCGGGAATGTGGGAGTCTGAGCCCTGCTTCTGGCCCCTGCCGAGACTCAGCGCTGCGGGTGCCCCTCAAAAGCCACCCCCTGCCAGGAAAGAGGTGTCCTGGGATAGAGGTGTCCCGGGGATGGAGGTGTCCCAGGGATGGAGATGGCCCGGGATGGAGGTGGCCCGGGGATGGAGATGTCCCGGGATCGTGGTGTCCCGGGGATGGAGATGTCCCGGGATCGTGGTGTCCCGGGGATAGAGGTGTCCCGGGATCGAGGTGGGCTCCTGGAGGGACAAACACCATTCTCTGGGGTCCCCAGCACGGGAAGGACGTGGAGCTGTTGGAGCGAGTCCAGAGGAGGGACACCGAGATGATTAGAGGGATGGAGCAGCTCTGCTATGAGAGAATTGGGATTGCTCAGCCTGGAAAAAAAAGAAGGCTTAGGGGTGACCTAATTGCAGCCTTCCAGTACCTGAAGGGAGCCCACAGGAAACATGGAGAAGGACTATCTACATGGGCATGTAGTGACAGGACAAGGGGGAATGGATTCAGACTAAAAGAGAACAGGTTTAGATTAAATATTAGGAAAAAAATCTTCCCTCTGAGAGTGGTGAGGTACTGGAACAGGTTGCCCGGGGAAGTTGTGGATACCCCATCCCTGGAGGTGTTAAAAGCCAGGCTGGGTGGAGCTCTGAGCAACCTGGTCTAGTGGAAGGTGTCCCTGCCCGTGGCAGAGGGGTTGGAACTGGGTGATCTTTAAGGCCCCTTCCAACCCAAACTGTCCTGTGGTTCTATGAGTTGCCCTTTTCCCACGCTGTGACTCCTGTGCAGGAGTGGGTCAGCAGTGGACCGTGACGCTCCATGGCTGTTCCAGGCCCATCTTCCCACCTAAGGGGAGACAGATCTCCCATGTGGGGCCCTCTCCATCCTCCCTCCACCCTGACAGCAGGGCTGCAGATGCCTTTCAGGATTTACAATCATAATATATCAAGGAATGGGGCCAGAAGGGAAGTAAAAGCTCAGACAGGGGATTTCCTGATGCCTATCGGTGTGAGATCTAATCCTTCATGTCACAATCATGTCCCTGCTTGAACTCAAGGGTGTCTGAATCTTTTTTTTTTTCTCTCTTAAAAACGCATCTTGAGGAAATAGCCTCAAGTTGCATCAGGGGAGATTTATATTAGATACCAGGAAACATTTTTTCGAGGAAAAGGTTGTAAAACATTGGAACAGACTGCGCAGGGGAGCGGTGGAGTCATGATCCCTGGAAGTGTTCAAAAAAACATGGATTTGGTGCTTGAGGACATGATTTAATGGTGCTAGGTTGATAGTTGGACTTGACGATCTTAGAGGTCTTTTCCAGCTTTAACGATTCTATGATTCCATGATTTTCACCATTGCCACTCAAAACAATCTGTATCTGGAACAGGAAACCATATGGGAAGGGAAGAATCAAGTTGGGAGTTTAACAAAGCAAGGAGTCCCTGCTGATTGAAAATCAGGAACCTTTATTCGTTACAACTCATTCCACTAGGAAAACAAATCTATGTTTGGTTGTGCCAAGTGACCGGATTAGTCCCACAGTCTCTTTGATTGTTTGGCTTTCTGTCTTGCCCTCAGTCATCTTGGTTTGAAATTTGTCTCCTTGTCTACTGCATTGCAAAGAGAAAAAAATCATTCAGATTTCACGGAGAAATGAACTGAGGGAGGAGATTATCAGGGTATCTGATCTGAGGCCTTTTACTTTACAGCTTGTGGTATTGCTGGCTGTCAGTGCAGAGCCGAGATCACGCCTTCCCTGTTCTTCCTTTCTCTATCTGCTACTTAGGAACTGTTCTTTTCTAAACTGATGAGATTCCTGAGTTTGGAGGCATTTGTGGTTGTTTTGTTCTGCGTTGGCAGGTCGTGGGGCAATGTTAGCTGTTGGTTCCTGTTTAAAGACAGAAGTTAACAGGAAATCCTTTGAAAAATAAATCATACAAAGCCAAATTCTGCTCTTGTTTACGCCTTGGCAACTCCACTCACTTCAACACAAGGTTAAAAAACAAGGCAGAGTTTGGTCATAGGTCTTAAACCTTGTTCTTTGCATGTGAGGAGAGGCAGCGCGTGAGGAAGGAGGGCTGACCGGTACATTGACAGATTTCCGCTCAGTTCCATATTTTATTCTTCCATATATTAAAGTGAATGTGGCTGTTTTATGTTCAGTTTGTAGAGAGAACTAAAATCAAGTCTTTCAAGTAAAGCGGAAAGGTGCAGCATACTGAATTAAGTCATGGGTTTTGGCCAAGAGTATATTTAGAAACAGCACAGGTTTCCAGAAGATGCTACAGGGCATATTTATGACAAATAGGCTTAGCTGGCAGCCAGCCATCCATTTTCTTTTCTCTTCTCTCCAGAGGTTTTCATAAACAAGAACTCTGAAGCTGGAAGTATTCCCACATCGCTCTGATTTCTGCGTTTCTTTGGAATTTATTTGTGATGAGTTCAGATGATGATGTTCACTGGCAATAGATGGACTCCTTCACAGGGTTGTCTATGATTCTTCTTTGAACTAACATATATGTATTGAGTAAGTTACCTGGACATTTTTGTCCCAGTAATTCTTCATATAGTTAAGTGGAAGGATTGAGGGGAAAAAAAAAAAAAAGCATTGCCTATGATAGTTCTGGTTCCCTGCTATACCAGGTAAATAGAGGAGCCAGCACATGGAAGTTCATTTAAAATACTTTAAAGTTGCTGACCTTCTTAAAATCCAGGAACACCAGATTTGGTGGCAGGCTGGGTTTAATTCATGTCTCAAGTTGGCCTGCCTTGTCCTTTCAGTGAGGTACCCAGCCGATGAGCTCGCAGCTCTCCCCACTTCAGCCTCTGCCTGCAGCCTGCCTGTCAGCCAGCATGCTGTGCCAGGAGCTGGAATTCCCTGCTGCCCTCCTGCACAGCCTCTGCCCTGCAGCTGCCTGTAAGCCAGGATTTTCTGGTACGCTCATCTGTAACTGGCTTTCCTTACCCCGATCACCCTTCAATCCAACTGTCCCCTGAGCTTCAGGGAAGCACCATAGGAGCCAGTTTTGCCGCTTAAAGTTTCATCATAAATTCTTTTCTACCTTGTTTTAAAAGATTTTTGATGGGATACTCCATGATTTTCCAACCAAGGCAGCCTTTCCACCTTGGAAACCAATAAATGCCTGGTTTGCTTTTACTATGCCAGGCTGGACCTAGCAAGGCGAAGGCCAGCAGTCTTTGTTTTTTTCAAAATGTTCTGTCAGTAGCTCTGTAATCACCATTTCTATTCAGTGCTGCTTCATCCCAGATCAGCAAGCTTTAAAACACACAGGTTTTTGTTGACAGAATGTTAAAATGCAGTCCTCTGCACTTTCAGATGGATTTAAAGGCACACTTGACACTGAAATTAAAGGGAGCTGGAAAGACCTAAGCCTCTTACAGTTCCATGATTTTATCTGTTGACAAGCATACTCTCTTTTTTTACTCTTTCTTTTTTTTTTTTTTTTTTTTTTTTTTTTTTTTTTTTTTATTTGTGATGCTTTTTCCAAACCAGTTACACAACACGATTCTGGTCTCAAGCAGCTTCTGTAGCTACCAAACATCAGTTCATAGAATCACAGAATCATAGAATGGTTTAGGTTGGAAGGGATCCTTAAGGATCATCTCATTCCAACCCCCCTGCCATGGGCAGGCACATATTCCACCAGACCAGGTTGCTCAAAGCCCCGTCCGACCTGGCCTTGAACACTTGCACAGTTTATTCTGTGTATGCAGTGCCTGGTTAGTTGGTTTGGGACAGTTTAAACCAGCTCTACCAGAACACCCTGGAGAGGCAGAAAGTGCCCTACACGTCATCCCACCATGCAGTGGCTGCACTGAGCTTTCAACTTGGGGTATCCCATGGGATAGGTAGTTCAGGCTGGAAGGGACCAGCTGGCCCAACCTTCAGCTCAATGCAAAGTCAGACTAGGGTGCACAAGGCTTTTCCCAGTCAAGCTTCATCCCCCAAGGATGAAGATCCCACCCCTCCTCTGGGCACCCGCTTTAGTGCTGAACCAGTCTCCACTTGAACAATTTTTTCCCTCGTCAGAATTTTTTAGTCAAAATTTTCCTTCACTGCTCTTTGTGATTGTTGCCTCTGATCTTTTGCTGTGCGCCTCTGTTGAGAGTCTGCCTCCATCTTCTCTGGAACTCCCCTCCACTGAGAGTCTGCCTCCATCTCCTCTGGAACTCCCCATTAGGTACCTGACCCCATACCCCTAGCCCCCTCCTCTCTAGGCTGCACAAACCTTCAGTGTCTCTTTGTACATCAGGCTGTTGAGAGAAAAGCTTGAATTGTTGACAGATACATGAGTCTTGCCTCTTCTACTGAAATAGGTGCTTGCCAAGCTGGTTGCCAGGAAAGGACTGTGTGCCAGGCTATGTCTTGGCAAATCGACACACATTCATTTGCCATGGTTACTACTCAGCTGTATAATCATACTTGGTGTTGGCAAAAAGCCTTTCCTGAGCCATGTTAAATGGTTTAGCACACACAGAGCCTAAAAAATGGTGGTGTCATTCTTTTGGGGAAAAAACTTATTCCAACACTTAGACAAGTCCCCCGATTTTGGTACGTTTACCCAACCCTGGCCCTCAGGAAATCTGGCACCATATCCTGTTTTATAACAACTGCCTTGGGCTTACAGGAAGGCTTTAGCCTAGTTCTCATGGATGTTCCTGCCTTTACTAAACAAAACTACGCCTAGGCTAGGATTACTTTCAGTTGTCAGCCTGAAAAGCCATTTTCTATACAAAACAGCAAACTGCCACCTTTTTTCATCATTGTGTGACACAGCCGCTCTTTAAATGTAAAACTGCACAGTCAGTGAGTTACTGAGTGGCAGGAGAGATGGGACTTCCCCCCTCAGTAAGTAGATTTCATGCCCACACAGACCTAGAGAGCAGAGATCCACCACCCCCCCCCAAATCTCTCCCCTCCTACAGGAGGAGGAATCTGCACCTCATTTTGTTTCAGCACTACGAGATTGTTGGTGTCTATGACACTGAGTGGTTTGAAACAGAAGCCCAGCAATGTACTGTGTGATACAGCCCTCTCCCTTGCAAGGACTTTAAAACTGTCAGAGCTCCACCAACCCGAACCTGGCACTCCAGGAACCGCCTTATTTAAGCATAAATTCTGCCCCAGAATGGATGCTGGGGATGAAGAGGGGTCCATGTAACCACACTGTCACCACAGCTTCGTATCTGGCAAGGCCAAGGCTAAGGTGGGAGAGAAGGATGAGGTAATCAACCAAGTCTTTTTTACCCATGGCAAATCCACATCCGTGTTAATGTTGTCAGTGCAGTGCAGTGTTCACATTTCCAAACTACTGCCCTTCTGGTCGAGGAGTCATACATTAACCGAGTTAGCAGTTCTGCCAGGAAATAACAAGGATACCATGCATTTCAGCAGTGCTTTTCATCAGATCATTCCTACTTACTTTACAAACAGAATTAAGGAAGCCTCACAACATCCCTGTGAGGTAGGTGGAAATTCTTACAACCCATTTTACAGGTGGAGAAAACAGGCACTGAGAGGTAAAGTGATTATCACAGCAAGTCAGAAGCAGAGCTGGAAATAAATCTAAGATTATTATCCTAGGTCCACTGCTCTAGACACTAGAGAACACCAACCTCCACATGCTATTGTAAGCTAAGAGACTACCTTTCTCTTCTACTATCACCTCCTTTGGTGATTTTGACACTTGCATTTTATGCTCCTTGCAGAGAGCCATGTGATCAGTTAGTAATTTCTTTGCGCAGGGAGCCAAGGGGGTAAACACACCTTTAAATGATCCAGGCATGGCTCTAATTGTCCAGTGACTTCCCCCTTCCCAAGGAGATAATTTTCCCTGTTCTTCATATATATATGTATGTTTTGCATAATTATTTGTAAGCAGAATCATACAGTGAATCCACAGCTCTGAGGCTGTTATGCAACTTCGCTAGGAATTTCTTGAATAAACATTTAAATTTGTCTCATTGAGAGGGAATAAAACACATTTATGTGCTATCACATCCAGAAATAGCAATAATCCTTTGCTCATCTGTAGGGCCTTCCATCCAAGGACCTCCCTTTCCATTACTAACACAATATATCAAGCCTCACATCATCACTGTAAGGTAGAAAATTATTCCCAATTGCACAAGAAGGAAGAATGACTTGCTGACAGTCCCACAGTGATTTCATCGCAGAGATGAGGCTGAATGCCGGAAGACCGGACTATCAGTTCCCTGCCCATGTCCTGATGCCGTGGCCCGTCCTTGGTGGCTACAGATTCACCAGCAGCCTGGCAGGGTACTTGAAAACTGGCTTTTTAAAAAAAAAAAAAATAAAAAAAAAAAATCAAGAAGTTGACTGGATGCAGGAGGAAGACGCTGGCTCGTCTCACTGCGCAGTCGTGACCCGGAGGAAGAAACAAGCGTTCCTGCGGCGGCTGTGGAAGAACTACAGTGTCCATTGAGTGCATATAGTGCATTTTACAGAGGCTCTCCAGTGAGAAAGAATGACGTACCCACCATGTGGTGATCAAAGACTGGCCTGCCTGACAGCCCTGTTGTGAACCATACACTCCTGATGAGTGTAAGCACTCATCTTTAAGTAGCCCCCGGGGTCTAACGAAGGTATGAATGTCAGAGGTTGAGAGCAGGAGTGGAATTGTCAATTAGAAAGCAACAGGGGTGGGCGTGATTCACCTAGTGATTCATCTAGTCCAGTACACTGTTATCTGGAAAGGTTAGATGCTCTGAAGAAGGCAGAAGACCCCTCATACTAAACCTTTACAGGGTTTTGGTTTTTACCTACAGGAAAGTATGTTTCCAAGCCCCTTCAACAAGTAGGCTGGTCAATCCTCAGAACCATTAAAACTCTAACTTTCTGTGGGAAAAATAAAGAAGTAATAGATCCCATCTAGTATAAATATGGTGATTTTCTTGTTCGTCTAAATCTTTGCCCTTTCTTGAATTCTAGTATCTTGAATTGGGCACAGTGGACTCTTTTCCTTCTGAAAAACATTCTCTTTCCTCAGTTGCCTTTCGTCTGTGATAACTGTTCTCCTGTTCCTGTATTAGGAGCGTGGATAAATTGTAATCTACAGACACTCTCTCTCTCTCTGCATGTCCTTTTGCTTTGTCCTATTCCTTCCTGAAACTGAGGAGGTACCTTCCAGCCTTCCTTCACAAGGAAGGACAACCTAACAGCCTTTGTCTAAGGAGCAAAGGTTTCGACCTCAGGCTGCACACCTTGGGGAAAATACATGGGCTCAAGAGGAGCAAAAGGATTAATAGTGTAAAAAATAATAAAATACGTGGCACCGCTGTGGTGCTGAAGAACCCCAGTGCACCCCACAAACTTTCTACATATGTACAGCTTAACGTCACTCGGCAGTGAAGTCCAGCCACCTCTGCGCTCACCAGGGGCAGCTGAGTTACCTGGGCAGGGAAACTGGATTAGACCAGCGAGTGACAGGAGTGACTGCACCGGGGGCTGCCTGGGCTGGGACGTGGGGCAGCGGGACTGGAGGTGTGAGCCGAGCCTGCCCAGAGCTCTCGCAGACGCCCCGTTTGACTCCCAGGGGCTCTGAGTCAAACCTGCTACAATGGGAGGCCGCGGGGGGTCTTTTCTAGCTGATGGCTGGGATGAGTTTTTACTCATTGTGCCAAAGACCTTTTTTCCCTGACCTGGATTAAAGCCTGCCCCGGGAACAATGGGATAGGCTGCAGCCCAGCAGAAAGAATTTGCTGAGATGGCAGGGTCTGAGGTTTGCAGAGCAGAGCAGATGAGAGTGCATACCTGCACTTTTTTGGCATGAGGCTCAGTTTTGGGGGGACACGGCTGCTAACCTGAAGCTTTTGAACACATTGCTGCACTGTCCCAGCCAAAAGGTGCTGCTGTAGTCCTAAACTTAGAAATCTATATTAGACATTTAAACATTGCAAGCACATGATTTTCTGCCTTCCGTAAAAAATATTTTTCTGAGTCTCAGAGTTCTGTACAGACCTGTTGGCACAAAAGGTCTAAATCATCTTTTGAAAGGCCTTGTCTTACTTGAGTGAGACTTTGGCATTTAATAGAGAAGTAGCCCACTGAACGGCTCCTATCTGTCAAATTAAAAACAAAAGATGTCAAAGAAGACTATTACCATACCAGTCTTTTCAAACTTGACCAACCAGTTTTGTATTTAGAGGTTTAAGAAGTCACATAGTTACCCAGACCCCTGGTGTACATCCACAGGTGCCTTCAGGACTCTGTACCTGAGATTTGCTGAGTGCCTGGAAGCCTGCAAGCTCCAGGAACTGAGCACATGTCAGGATCATACCATGAAGGCTTGTATTTGGTTTCATGCTCTGGGGGCTGTAGCTGTTCCCTCCTTTCTCAGAAGCCTTCCCACGCTTGCTTGGCTAAATCAAGCTTCAGATCTTTAAGTCACAAGGCTACAAGTAAAAAATATCACTTGAATTTATTCTTTCCAGTATACTGAAATAGTCTCAGGGCTGGGTGACCCTCTTGGGAACAAATAATCCTTCTCTGGGCATCTGCTAAATCCTAGTAGGGAGCCACTGTTAACCTTGCCCACTGTCAATCTCACTTGAAGGGCAGAAATATTTTTGACAAAGGGAAAATATTTTTACCTAAGTCAGATATGCATTCACAGAGAAACTGGGAACATTTTGGGATTTTATTTTCTGGATAGAGAAGGGAAGTTGGGCTTACTATTTTAGTGTGTTGATGCTAAGCACAGAATTCACTTTGTGGATTAAATTTAACTGCAATTCCATGCCAACAGCAAAGGGGAGATCTGCTCAGCGAGCCATAGGTGGAAACAGAAAGACTAGATACAGTTGTTGATCAGTCTTCCCCCTTGCTGGCTGAAAGACAGATCCTCCCCACATTCCCAGACAAATGTGGAACACAAGGCTTTCAGTAAATACGTTCACAGTGGCAACATTTGAGTATCACTGCCATGTTAGGTTTTAAAATACATCAGTTATGTGTACAGTGTAGATATTACTGTAAGGAGCGAGCTGGCATGTGGAAACAGGGAAATACAGGGACATACAGGGCAAATAAGGCACAGTTACCATGGTAGTACCTTTCCAGTTGGGAATCATGAAAGGAAATAATATTCAAATGGCCACTTTAGCGCTTTGCTTAAAAATATCTTTTGATTCTTTCTCTATCTCTCCTTTTCTCTTCAACTTTTTCCTTTTCATGTGCTCCCTGTATCCTGCACCTTCATACAGTCAAATCATCTGACCTGGCCCGGCTGCTGGCTTTACTTAGCCTGCTGAGGGGTCTCATATCGGTGGCGAGTTCAGCAGGTGCTGAAGGCCCTTCCACTTCATCGCTCACCACCTCCTCTTCTGCTTTCTTCACCCCTGGCTCCTCAGGCTGCTCTTCTAGCTCCTCCTCCTCCTCCGCTCTTACTTTCTCCTCTTCTGGTTCCTTAGCTGGTGCATACGATGGCAACCTCTCATCAAATGCCCTGGAGAGATCTTCCAGTGGAGCCACCCCAATCTTCTCCTCAAACTCATTGTAGGCTGATGGAAGGGGGCTGGGCTCAACCCCTACTTCCGTGAGAGGGAAATAGAGGGACACCGGCTTCTCTTCTTCCAGCAGCTTGTAGCCTTTGGCCTTTGGGATGGTGGGGACTGTGATGGCAGGGAGAGGCTTCTCCGGGACCTCTCCAAGCGGTTCCTCTGCTGGTCTTCTCAGAGCCCTCCGGATTCTTTTCAGGATCAAGTGACTGATCTCCACCAGGTTGAGGAAGAGGGATACGGCAGCCACCACCAACATGAACATAATAAAGATGGTCTTCTCCGTGGGCCTGGAGACAAAACAGTCCACAAGATTGGGACAGGGCCACCGCCCGCAGCGGTAAAGGGGGAGAATCCGGAAGCCATACAGGAAGTACTGACCTACTATGAATCCCACCTCAAAGAGGGTTTTGAAAATGATGTGGAAGATATACGTTCTCAGGAGAGTACCTTCCAGGCGAAACTTCTTGGTTGCATCAGGGTTGTTGCCTTTGTTTTGGTTTGGAGCAAGGGGCAGCTTCTCTTCGTCCACCTCGGCCTGCTGGCGCCGCTCAGCTTCCTCCCTCTCTTTCCTCTTCTCCTCCATGCGGACGTGGTGCACAGCATGCCCAAAGTACATCAGCGAAGGCGTGGATACAAAAATGATCTGCAGGACCCAGAGCCGGATGTGGGAGATGGGGAAGGCCTCGTCATAGCAGACGTTCTCACAACCAGGTTGCTGGGTGTTGCACACAAAGTCTGACTGTTCGTCTCCCCACACCAGCTCGGCCGCCGTTCCCAGGATCAGGATGCGGAAAATGAAGAGCACTGTGAGCCAAACTCTCCCGATGACAGTGGATTGCTCGTTCACCTGCTCTAAAATGTTCCCCAAGAAACTCCAGTCACCCATTTCTTACTGTCTAAGGGAAGAAAAAAGAAAGAGAAAGACCACAAATTACGCTAAATTTAAAAGATTTAGGTTTTCCCGCTGATATCTTTTGCTGCTTTCAATCAGTATTTCCCTAATATGCTTTGAGAACAGAAAGATGGTCGTTTGCTTATTTGCTGATTTGCCTGATCACAATGATTTATTAGCAGGAGAAGGGCTGGGAAGCCAGAGCAAGCTGCTTGCTAAATTCTTTCTTTCATGGCACTAAATGGGCAATTACTTTTCAGCCAGGGAGTATATTTATCTCCTTTTCCAGGTGAGAGTCTTCTGTGGTGCCTCGTAGGCTTAGTTGCGTGAGCCTGCTTGGATTTCATACGCGTACAAACACTCACCAGCAATACAGTGGAACAGATTTATCAGCATGCAGCTGCAGTGGTTAGAAAAGAGAGTGCAGCTTTCAAGCACCCAAGCTCTCCTGCACCAGAACACCACACAGGGGTCAAACAGATCTCACGTTGGCGCCCATCTTGCACCTACAATAAACCCGGATTCTCTCTAGACTGCATTTATTAATTCTACATTAGCAACCACTCTGTTAGGTAAGAACAGCAATTACAACACCATTACTTTGTTAGTAATACTGTATAAGCTTAATAACTACTACATAGACTAGTTTTGCTTCACAGAATACATTATATAGAATACAGTTATTGGGGCTATTCTTTGCATCCTCTTCTGAAGTCAGTTGCCACACTGACTTTTCCTCCAACCCGAGGAAAAACACAAAGGTCTCTAAGTGGGACCTAAAATACTCCTCACTGTCTCTGAAATGTCAGTGCTGCTATCTCAAGCTGACATAGATCTGGAAGCCAGCTGCAGATATCCTACTGGAAAGCTAAGAAAGTAGTCCATTTTCAAGTGATGCAAGTCAAATATTACATTATTTTTGTCATTATTTTTGCATGCTAAGAAATTATTCCTAGGTCAGGAGTTCATCCTGCATATCCTGAACTTCCCACTATATCATTGCAGGCAAGGGAAAACCTGTGTATGAGGGAAATAGAAAGGAAAGGTATTTTGGATGTGCTGGTTTAAACACACCACAGCAGTCTGAAGTCTCTGAGGAATGCAGAGTACTAAAGTGGTCCAGAAAGACCGAGTGGTGGACCACGACAAGTGAAACAGGGAACATTATTCATAAAACAGCTCTTCACAGGGAACTAGAAGTTCACCTCTTAGATACTACCTCCATCTATAGTCTCCTAAATGCACAAACACATACACAAGCACCGGGAAAAAGAAGGTACAGCCAAGAGCATGGAAATCTGAGCATCTAAACTTCCCTCCTCCTTCAGATACCGCTGGGATATATTTGTAATGCCATATGTTATGACACACCAACGCATACTAGTCTGCCTCAACTACTGTGTGTACATATTCACACACACACAAACACACACAATACTGAGAGCTCTACAGCTCTGGGGAATTTCACCAATTTTCAGTCAAAAAAAAAAAACGCTTATGATGGCATTTTGCTCAAACAAGATGGACTCATATTCCTCACCCTTGAACCTCATAACATTCTTTTAACCCCAGGCACCCGTGTTAGAAAAGGAAAAACAGAACGCAGCCCTTCAGCTTGCACAAACACCTCGCAGGAGGAAGCAGCAAACGTATAATTTAATCACCGAAGAAAATTGCTACTTTCTCAGTCATTAAAGTTGTGTAAAGGAGTGTGTTAATGTCAGCGCTTACATTAACAAGTCTAGCAGAAGATTATGCTGTTTACATACATTATCTAAACTGATTTAAACATCCTCTTTCTGCAAATTCACAGAGCAAAGTACACCCAACAGTTACCAATCATGTGCAACTCTGTAAAAAACATGACTACACACAGTATAAACTTCATTGTCCCCCAGGCACCTCAGTTAACTCCATCCCTCTCTTCCTTTGTGAGTCCCGCTGATAAGCCACGCTACCTTTCGAACATTAGCACTGCAGCACACAAGAGCAACATTCTAGATGTGATAAACCTTATCATACAGAAAACTCACTGTACAGGAGAAGGAAAAATGTTCCCTGGCTAACTCCACCAACTGTCTTGCTCACAGCTTGCTACATTTGGCTGAACTCTTCCTGAGACAACTTCCGAACCGGCCACGTTGTTTTTAAAACTCTGCCATGACCACCCTCTCCGTTTTCTGCGAGTGAAGTGGTTCGAGGTTGCTCAGTCGGCTCAGCTGCAAGCAACGATATTGGGTGGACTGATGACGAGTGGCAGGACCAGCTCAGATGTTCAGGATTCCACCCGCGAGCAGCCAGCCCCTCGAGTCTCAGGAAAAGGTGCGAGCAATGTACTTATGCACTTCACCTTCTCCCTTAAAGACTGCCTGTCGTGAGGAAAGAGCAGGGCACTGCCTAAGCCCACTCAAGAGTCAACAGATTCATGTTCTCAACTCTCGTGGGCTCGTTGCAGACCCCCACCCTGCGCTTCCTGAGCACGCTACCGGCAAAAAAGACCGTACAGGTTAAGGATGTTGAGCAAGCAACTTGCCGCTGTGAAAGGCTCCACCGAAGAAATGTGTCCCCCTCCTCTCTTGGCACTCTGCAGGGAAGAGTGAACTTTTGTCTCTCTTCTTCCCTACCCTAAAAGCCCCAATCTTGTCGCACGACTGAGCAGATATGACTGAATTGGCTCTGATGGTGGGTTTTAGTTGCCCTGCAATATTTAAGCTCCGAGCCAGACGGCTTTATGAAGTGAGTGACAGTTGGTGACGTGGGGAACAATAGGGAGGAAAAAAAATAGAGAGAGAGGCAGAGACACAGAGAGGAGAGTCCACTGAACATGAAAAAGCAGAGGGGGGAGAGGAACAGGCGACAGGCAGTGAAAACCTAATACATGCATAAATGGGAGTTTGCTCAGTTAAGCAGGGACCAAAGCATCTCTGCAATTCTGCTATGGTTCAGCACAGCTGTGTGCCCACACTCACCAGTCTTTAGGTGTTGTGGCATGACAGGTGAAAAGGGAATGCCAACATCTCTGGCAGAATTAATTGAATTAAATTGTTACCCTACACCCAACTCTGACAGTTGGTAAACTGCATTGCTGATTTCCAGCACAGGCATATACTGAGGTACTACATCTGTATTTGGCATTGTCAGATGCTTTGGGCTGCTCTTCAACATCTTTTACCTGGAAAAAGCAGTGGCACGAGAAAACAAGATTAACAGTCAATATTAATCAAAGCTGAGAAACACCAATTTTACAACCTCACCTTTCAGTGCCTTAGTTCTGCTTAGCTTTTCCTCCAAATGCATCTTACACTGTGGCACATGCATTAAAAATGTCTAAACCAAACTGTTTTGTTAAGGAGGGCAGCTGAATTCCAGCAGCCCAGCAAACAGGAATGTTACCCCAGGCACACTCGCCTACCCTCAGCCACCTGCAAAAGTGCTGGAGAGAAGAATCACAGGCTCAGTAATGCATCTGCAAGTACCACCAATTGCCCTGGGAGTTTTAATTATAAGCCAAAGGTGATAATTGTATTCTGAGGTGTTGGTTTTGTGGTCTTTCTGTAGGAATTGCTCGGAGTGTGCTCTTGGTGCTCAGCTCCGAAGAAATAGAGGATTACTGGAAGCAAAATTTGCTAAGCAATGGTACAGATGCCAGGCTCATAAAGTGATGAAGCAGCAAGTAGCTCTCCTCTCTCTTTATGCAAACTCAACACTGAATTTAATTTCCCAGAATGGCACTGGGAGACATTCTGTCTCTAGAAAAGCTGTCGTTTGAATAAGATATTATATACAATACGAGGGCCACAAAAGTTTGTACCTTCAAACCAGTGGTTTCAGGCCTCTCTTCAGTGTTTCTGGGCATTTGTGCCCCTGTAAGTTCAGAGCCTCACCTTAGCAGTTGTCTTCCCAAACAGCTTTTTTGCACAGCCCCAAAGTTCAAAGCACAATTGGAGGCTGAGATGATGTTTTTCAAAAAAGATTTCAAAAGAGCTAAAGGATAAGTCAGAGATGGAGAAAAAAATTCATATTTTGCAAGAGGAATCAGTTTGGAGACACAAAAGAAAAAAATCAACCTCAGTGGATCTAGTTGAAATGAAAGTCATATTCTGAACACCTTAATTAATCACTCTCTTAATACAGAAGCTGTAGCAGAACATTTTTCAGCCTGTGCTACGTAAAGCTGGTGTGTGGGAAGACACAAGTCCCAGGAACATGAAGTGAATAAGAAAAGGCACAGTTGTTCAACAGGAGGAATGAGAACAGTAAGGAAGAGTAAGGAATACCTTTGTTGTTTTCTTTTGCTACATGCTACTGAGATAAACAAGGACTAAGACATGAGTAACTGGTCATCACTGCCACCCTCAACCCCTCTCTGGGAAGCAGGAAGAGAGGGAGGACTAAATGGTACCACCAGCACCCAACACCTTTAAAGAGTGCCTGGAAGGTGGTGCATCACAGAGAGCAGGTGGTTCAGATGTCGAACTGCCTGTTCCTTTTCAGACTGAAACTGTCTTTTTGGAAAACTCATCTCTGGTGGAATGTGTGTATCCCTTCCTGGGCCTTATCTCTCTAATATAAGGAGCCAAATCCCAAATCTGGTATGTAACTACATGGCTGTAGTCCATCTCTAAATTACATCCAGCAACTGTCAGAGATATTTCCCATTAACCTTTTGTCTGCCTTTCACAAGCACTGTCCAAATATCAAACACTGTCTGGCAAGCTGCAGGACAGCTTGCAAGATGCAGCTGATGCAGAAATTATATTCCAGTCTCTTATCATTTGGGTAAATGTTACTTTTATCTGAATGATCAGATGACTTTCTTTGCTGTCATTAGGGTGCAGAGCCATTAGCATAGGGCACGCTGATTTTAACAGGACATTTCTGATTTGTGGAAAAACCACACAGTCACTTCACCTGGATGCCTTTTTAAAAAGGCACCACTGAGCTCTGGGACAGATTCTCCAGCTCGCTAGGGCCTCCTCCCCCTGAAGAAAAGGGCCTAAATTAAGATGAGGATGGGCAGTGGGGAATTCCTCTTGTGCTGGGGTTATGCAGGGAAGTGGCTGGTTAATGTGGCGATGAAGAGAAGGCAGAACATGAGAAGAGCAAGAAGGAGACTTGATTCTCTTAGGCTGTGAAAACCTGTGGCTGTGAAAGAAAGGAGTGCAGACCATAAAGCCAAAGGTCTAGAAGACTGGACCTCACATGCAACACGTGACATTCACCGAGCCTGCAAAAGAACTGCATACTGACAGTACCAGACTGATAATGGCCAACACTTCCAACCTGTGAACCTCGCTCAGCATTTAAGCTCTCATTAGGCAACTTGTTGATGTGCTGAGTACTTTCCTCTCCAAAAAACGGTGCTAAAAAGAGTAGCAGCTAGTGAGAGTAACACTGTTACTCACAGTGACTTTTCCTTGCCTTCGGGACTTTTCTTGCCTTCAAAGAACCACGGACATCTCCTGCACTTTTAAAGCGTTATTTTCTTTGGAAAGAATTTTGCTTCGTGGCTGACTTCTCATCCTTTAGCTGCTTTGAGGCTGGTGACTGAGCTCCTGCCTCTGGCACCACTGAGTCTGTGAAGTCTCCACTGCAACTCAGCCTTTTGCTCAGAGCCTACGAGGTCACTTGGGGAATGTGGGATTTTTTCATTCCAAACGGATTTCCAACACAGACATGATGTCAGGACAAGGCAGGGCCATGCTATTGAACAGCTCTGTTCATGCATGATAGCAGATTGTGCAATTATATAGCGCACAACCCTGGATAACGATACCCCTCCCTCAAACAAAGTTATCTTCTCCCGATCTGCTTAGCTAGAAAGTGGCACATGCTTCCTGTTCTTCTGCTGAACACACAAACCTTTTGCTCCTGGCTGAGGCTGAACACTGGACACATCCAGCCTCCCTGCAAGAAGCTGGGAGCGTCACCCAACACTCCTGTTTGCCAGGCACCACCCAACTTAGCATACACCTGCTGTGCAGCAACAGGTGTCCTTGTCCATCCTAGAGCCAGAGGGATCTGCCACTCTGATCACCAGGACCAGTCTCCCAGATTTCATCATCTCTCTGCCACCTACCGGTCTCAGAAATCATTTAAATGTGGCCAGCCCTGGATAAATCTTTAGGCAGGCGTTGCCACGTCCCTGCAAGACTGGCAAGGGTCACTGCCCATATTTTAAGGGCAAGGCTCTCAGATTTTTCCAGGACTCTCTTCAGAGCCCTACAGGCACTGGGGGATATAAATTGCTGAGGAATATGTTTTGCTAGGGAACTGCAAACAAACCATAAAGAGGGGGAGGAAGATATAAATCATTGAGGAGGAGGGGAATTGGGGAAGTGTGTAACAGGAGAGTTTGGGCAGGAACACAGAAGAGGTGGAGATAGGGCCAGATTGTGCTGAGCCTCAAGTGGAGGATGAATACTTATGGGAAACGTGTTTGTAATTTAAGGGATGGAACAAAACTAGACAGTGAATAAAGATAAGCAGGGTAAAAGTGGAATGTCTTTCTATAGCTGTTTCACCTAAATGCAGTTCTTCTCTGAAAATTACTGTTCTAAGAGAACCTGGGGAATTACAGGCCAGTCAGCCTAACTGTGATACCTAGAGAGATACTGGAACCAATTATGAAACAATCAATTTATAAGTAGCTAAAGGACAATAAGCTGATAAGAAACATCCAGCAGGGAATTTTGAAGAACAAATCCTGTCAAACCAAGCTAATTTTCTTCTTTGACTAACGGGCTTGGTAGATGAGGAGGAAATGGTTAGGTATAAAATACCTTGACTTTTGTGATCCTTTAGAAAATATCTAGATCATAGGCTCCCAGAGCAGCAAGAAAAGCCACCATACAGAGGCTACACAGGTTGAATTACCATTATCAAGGGTAATTATCAGGGCTTCACTTTTCCAGCTGGGAGGTTCATGTCCTTGAAGTTTTGCCTCCAGGGCTTCTCAGTATTTCCTTGAGTGTTTCGGACAACAGCCTAGAGGACAAAACCAAGAGGATGACAGCTGGGCTGGCGGGGCAGCACTCCCTCCTGAAGACAGGGGGCTGGAGCAGTCAGAATTTGAGAGGAACGTGAGACACTGGAGAGCTGTGCTCTGCCCTCTGCAGAGGTGACTGCACCAAGGAACAGTTCAGGAAAGGCGACTGTACAGACACCAAATGTGCTGGTCCAAACTGAACTGTAACCGTTTTGGCAGCAGCGCAGCAAAGAAGAGATGGGGTTTGACCCAATATGAGTCTGTTAAGTGAGATTCCCACAGAAGAAGACAAATCTCACTCTGAGATGCTTTAATGGGAATTTTGTGTATAAGGCAAAGGAAGCAATTATTTTGTGGATTTACTTGATACTGCTGAGCTCTCAGCAGGAACAGTGTGTCCGCTTCCAGGCTCTACATTTTACAGGAGATACAGACACACTGGAGAGAGTCCAAAAAGAGAACAACAAAATGATAAGAGATGTGAAAAAAAACCATTACTTATAAGGAATGGATAAAATAACCGAGTTTGTTTTCTCTAGGAAAAGAACAACAGGAGGGGAGGCATGATAACAGTCTTCCAGCACATAAACATTTGTTATAATGGCTGGAGAGACTAAACAGTTGTCCCCTACATTCACCAAAAGTAGAAGAGGAAATAATCAGCTTAATTTGCAATAAAAATGATATAGCTAAACATTAGAAAAACACTTTGCAATGGCAAGAATAGCAAAGCACTGCAGCACACTGCTTGGGGAGGCTGCAGAATCACAGGAGGTTTTTATGAAGAGGTAAACAAACATCTGTTAAGGATGATCTTACCTCGTAAGCAGAAAAACAACTGGGGGGAGAGGGAGGCTGAGGCCTTTGGTCTCTACAGTTTCGTATAGGGCCAAAGACCTAGAGAAATCTCAGAAGAATATTTTCAGTTGGAAAAAAAAAATAATATCTTGCCACCAGTCCTGAAAACTCAGCCTGGACATCACAGGTTGTCTGCACCACCCAGTGCAGTGCTGAACTGGGGAGATACCAGCTTAGGTCTGGGAGTAAGTTGGCTGTGCCAGTGAAGAATTCCACTTGAGTTAATTATCTCCTCCGGAGTGGGCCTAATTAAATGGGGCAGTGTGGAGCACGGTGGTGCTGTACTACTTCCCGTGCTGCCCCTAGATCACCCCCGGTACCTTCAAGCCCTGTAAGGAGGGCTGTCCTCAGGGAACCTTCAGGAGTGTTCACAGCTTTGTTCTGTGGCTTCAGTGACAGCTCTGAATGTGCTGCAGCTTTAGAGGTGTTTGCTCACCATAGCCACATTTCAACCAATTTGTTCTGTTACTGTATTAAGCGTAAGATTGGATGTCATGGCTTATCCAGAGTGTTTCTCCTGGACATTGACACTAAACATAACAAACAGCCTGCAGGCGACTCACAGCGCTTCCATTCAGAACCTCTCTTCTCGCTCAGCTCAGAGACAACCTTTTCCAGAGGGATGCTGATTTTATCCGAGGGCAGGAGGAAGGAGAGCCACCCGCCTTGTCCCTTGTCCCAGCACAGTTGCTGGAGCAGCATCAGCAGAGCAGCAGCTCCCGCGGCCCGAGCCACTAGCGGGCGATGTTTTCTCATTCATGCGCCGACAGCGCCGGGATGCCGAGGTTCGCTGCGAACGAGAAAGGAGAAGGTGCAGCGCGTCCATTACGCTGTATCTAAAACCCGGCCTTTCTCTTCCCTCATCCCTCGTTCCTTAAACTTTTCCTGCAAGCACAAAAATAAGGCCAAGCAAACACAGGAAACTCGCGGTGATGCAGTTATACCTATTGTGAACGTGATTTTTTTTTATGGTACTTTCACAGTGGTTGAATAGATTGGAGTTAAACTGATGCGAGGATCGTTTTGATGTCTATAATTTAACCTGCAGAATCACTGTAAACTTTGTTGACTCTATTTACTAGTATAATCTGTATTTTCACCCGAACCTGCATCCCTTTTCCAGCAAGTACTTCTCAAGTATACCAGCTGACTTGCATGATTTTTCCTTCAATAACATGGTTAATAATAAAAACCTCACTAAAAGTACAAAGAACACTTAAGGCAAAGGAGATGAACTCTCGTGTGTCAAAGGTAGGTGCTCTGCACAAACAGGGTTAGAGACAGGAGACAGAAGAGTACTCTTTTAGACACATGATTTCATGGGTGAGCATGATTTCACTTAAAACTTGACCAGGTTATTTCTTTACAACAGTGCCTTGGTTAGAAATCCTACGTTCTTGTGCCAGTGCAGGTGCTATTTCTGAGGAGCAGCACTGGGACAGGGCACAGAGCTCGTAGGCAAGGTGCTAAACATGCACTATGGAGCCATCACATATAAAATGCCCTTCCTAGGTCCCCATATACCCTCCTCTTACCTGTCCCTTTCTCTGACCCCTGCCTAGAACCTACCACCTGGTCAGTCACAGAGGTGGAGCACATCAGCTGGAGGACATCACCAAGAAGACACGAAAATGTAGTCATGCTACATACTTAAGTGATCCATGGACTCAAATTTATCTCAGCATATATTCTAGGTTATGCCCCCCCCACCACTATTGAGATTCTCCTCAGAGAACCACATGAACTGGTATCAGGAGTTGTGAGGTATCAGGCCAGTCAGGGAACATGTTGCTTACAGCCAGTCTGGACTATCTGAAGTGGATCCAGGGAAAGCAGTGACAAGCACCTGATAATACTTCTGGTAATAATTAATTGCTCCAGGCCTGCCAGTAAAAGAGGAGCTAATAATATCTTCCAGCCTCTTGAGGGGATCTCCATGTGTTTTGTTTTATCAAGACTTCTTGTACAACCTCTTAACATCCCCAGGCAACAAGGAGCTGGAAAGGACAAAGCTTCTGAAAGATCCAAACAAGTGGGTACATGTGGAAGCATCTCGTGTTACCTCACTGTCTATGAGGTTTGTTGCCTTCCAGCTTCTGAGGGAGACTCATTCCCTACTCCTTTCTCCCTTCTTCTGGGCTCTCCTCTCACCCCCAAGGCCTGCCTTGCTGAGTGGTAGGCTCAGGGCTCTCAGGAGCATTGTCACCACCCACTCTCCACCTTTATCTCCCTGCCTGCATTTCCACACCGTGGAATGACACACTGGAGGTGTGCTGTGCACACCGGGTGAGAAGGTGGCCCAGGAGAGCTCACAGGCAGGACAGGGCAGGGATGGGGAGGCAAAGCAGGCCATTATTTGTTCTTCCAGTCCCCAGAGATGCACATACCTGCCGTGCACTTTGGCTGACCTCAGCTTCCCATTTCCCACAGCAAAGCCTGTTCCCAGCTTCTCTGGGAAGGACATCTGTGGGGGCGGTTCCTGTTTCCCTGCCCTTTCAGCCACTTGTCTTCCTGAGCCTGATATGATTGTTTCTTTGGGCACAGTGTAAAAGATGCCAGCAAGTAACGGAAGCCTCTCATGCCTCAACAATTTATTGAGAAGAAAAGGAGGTTATTGAACTTGGAAGCTGTTGAGCCAGTCGTTCTCTTTTCCTGATCAAGAAGATAACCTGTCCATAGATAAATCATCCATCCAAAGGTCTTCAGCATTCACTGAGACAACCTGGCCTCAAACTAGTAAACAGCCAGGTGAAGGGAGCCAGGGATTATTTATGTACAAACCTACCAGAAAACATAGGTCATAGGGTGGAAGGGCTTCTCCAGTTTGGAGAGGCCTGTGTTGGTTTTTTTGTTCATTATTTCCAGCAAACTTCAATTCCCTGCAGTCCTGTTAGTGTTCGGTGAATATGATATTCTTAAGATCAATATGGTTTAAAGCATTTCAAGATCCTTTTAAAAAAAGCATTAAGGTCTTTGGGGGTTCTCTGTCAGACCTGGCAGAACTTTCAGCAGCTGTTTCTGTGGCAAGTTCCACCTTGGTGTAGCGACTCATGAATAGTCTTCCACTTGCCCTGTGCTACGAGGCTCCATTCTTGTCTGATGGTTAAATACCACTAAAATGAAGGCAGCTATTATTATAGGTAATTTCTCAGAAAAATACAGGCATGTATTTTAATGGCCTGCATCTCTCTAGTCCCTGAAGCTCTGAAGTGAGGACATGAGCTCTAATATTTCTGTTTCCACCCCTGCTTTGGCCCAGTGTGCAGCAGGTTTGGTGGGTTTCTACTCCCCCTGACCAGCGCTGGGTTTATGCAGTGGCAGCCCTGGCTTTGTCTTTCAAAAAAAGGGTGCCCTCCTTTACAGAAGGACAGTACAGAAGTCAAGTCCATTCCAACACATCCTCCTTAGCCATACACAACTGTGGCATTCCTTTCCATTTTGTATTCAACATGGCTTCGCCTGCCCAGGGGACCACAGTTGTAAGACATTGGAAAAGATGTTGGGATGGTTTGTACAACTGAAGTTTTACTTACTGGCTTGTTTGTAACTTTGAATCATAATTTCCTGGTTATTAATATTCAAGCTTTGTGAGTCAGTGTTCCAGCAACTGGACTGATGATTTGGGTCTGCAGTGGATAACCAAGCAACACTGGAATATGGCAGCACTGGTTATTTGAGCACTCACCAAGGGAAAAACAAACACCAGTTATTGCTTAATTTAACACACAGTGATGTTGCTGACTCAAAAACGGCCTTGCAGATTTTTAAATGTTCTAAACGGCTTCCTCATTTTTCAAATCTTAAATCCAAAAAGAACAAAACCTGTGTTTTACCTTCTCTGGATGGGTAAACTGGTGGCAGAAATGAGAGGCTGGTAGCAGGTTTACTGATCCCCACCCAACTCCACTGTTACATGAAAGCAGAAGGAGGTCCAAACTGGTAATGCTTTGAAAGGCATGATGCTTTAAGAAGTCCTGTTTCCCAGCCTTGAGTAGAATTCTGAGCAAAATCAACACAAATAAAGGATTTAAATAAGAAAATATAAATAATCATTGAGAACTGCTTAAAAATTGTTTACTAGGAACCAAAAATACACATCTCCCCAGTAAAGAAAGAATAGTGCAATTGAAAAAAAACAACCACATTAAAAATTGAAATGGGGGTGGCTTAAGTAAGTAAAACACATTTAACAAATAGTAAGAGAGATGCTGAATATAAATTAGGAGATAGAAATCATAAAAAAGATACGATGGAAGTGAAAAGGGAAAAAAAAACGTGACAAAGCTATTTTTTTAAAAAGTAAAGTAAGGACAAAATTAGTCCTAATCATGGCATTGATCTGTTATAGGATAGAAATCTTAGATTATTCAATAATAATGCAGACAACAAGAAAATAAATCAATAAATACTTCTATCCTACTGCTGGGGAAAAAAGGTTGATAAAGACTTTGTTGGTGACATATCTATTCTTGTTGTACCTCAGAGGAGTTAAATACCACCTACTAAAATCAGGCATTTTAAATCAGCAGGACTGGATACCTTGCACTAAAACTTGGTTTATTAAATAAGCTGCACATGATATGTCTGCACTATTCATGTTGATCTGCTGTACTTCTTGGTGCAATGAGGAAGTCCTGGCGGAGAAGAAGAAAACTCATAGTCTGGCCTTTTTTATAAAGACTATGTAGAAGGGCATAATTACTTTATAATTATCTCCTAACTGTAATTACTCACAGGTAACTACAGACCTGTGATAGGATCTCAGACTTCAACTAAGTAATTAGGTGGCTATCACAGAACACAGGGAATAAAAGGAGGGAAATATAACTAGGGGCAATCAGTGTGGGTTTATAGAAAATTCACCCCACTGAACGGTGTTAAAACTTTTCTCTGAGGAAATTTAACCATTGTTAAATAAAACAAAGCTGGTACAATATATATACTTGAGATCCTGGAAGGCAGTTTCCCTTCCAGGAAGGCATTGGAGTTACATGGCACTATGATTAAGAACTTGCTTGACATAAAAATAAGATAGCAGCCATTAAACAGACTATAAATGACCTATCAGTCTGGTTCCAAAACACAACTGAGAACTAGAAGGGACTGGGTTTTTTTATAGCATGTTTGTACCAAGATCCTGGAGGGTGTTTGACATCTTAGGGGTGACAGATAGAGACATCAGTCCTGCCTGGTTTATTCTCCAGTTTTCATGAAAGCCCTCTACTGTCAAGAGCTCCCTATTATGTGCTCTCCGTGACCCATAAATCATCAAATTAGAAAAAGAGTGCTTATTTTCTGGTTCAAAAGCCAGCTTACCTTAATGACCACCTGCCAGCTTGAACGAAGAAGGTAAGAAAGTACCCCCCCAGAACTGTCTTCTCACCTTGTACATATCATATGAGATCTTAGATCTACACATGGGCTGCTAGTACGCAATTTGAAGGACTTAAATCTGCCCATTTCTAGTCCAGCTGCCAAAAATGATTTATGATCTGTGAGGTGGCCCAGAAAGCAGTGTCACGAGTGACAATGTACTGCATCATCCTGAGGATTCTTGCTCATGCATTTCAAAAGCTGGTCCCATCTATGAGCAATGTCTCATCCCTCAAGTCCTGGAAAGATAGTGCCTATCTTTGCTGTCCATGGAAGGGAAGAGGTTTGAAGGACACAGGCAAGACCATGAGAGGAAATGTGAACTGAGAAGGCTAGAATGAGAATAGCAAAGAACATTCAGGAGAAAACAAAGGAATAAAGAAACTGCCAGAGCACAATCCACGTGCCAAAGGACAGCCCACAGACGAACACAGATCCTGTCTCCTTTGAGCTTAACACAGGTGGTGAAACTACCAAGACTTAGGAACAACCATCCACCAACCACGTACTTGAAAGAGACACCCAAAAATAGAGACTCCTGAAAATTCTATTTGTTGCATACATGGTCATGCCTGCCAAAAGCCATGTCACTGTTCTACAAGTAGATTTTAATTCAGCTGGAAACAGACACGTGCATGAACAGGTCTCCCTGACACCAAAGACTTTAGTCCCTGGTGAATCTTAGATATGAAAGGTTGGAACCATTCCATTTCCTGCAAACAAGTCCAGTGCTGTTGCTCTACCTTTGAATGTATTGCCTATCCTGCCAAAGCACGGAAAACCTGGAACTGCCTTAGAAACATCTGTCCTGGGAAAATGAAAGGATGCCTAGGAATGAAGGGAAGGTTCTTTATTTCTTCTTTTCAAGAAAGGATGCCTGGGCTTGCCTGGGCAGAAAGGTCTTATTCATGGAACAACAGAACAAAATAAATAATGTAGGTTTTCTGATAGTGCAGGGAATAGGACAGGCTCAGGCTGAGACTTCTAGAGGCAGCATTTAACCTGGACTGTGTGCCTTAGAGAGAAGACTCTAAGACTACCACGGGAGGAGATCTGTGAAACTGCCAAGAGCTTCTGATGATCCAGGCCCGACTATTCCTTTTAGACAAGGTATTTAGCAAAAGTAAAGATGGTTGTAGGCAGACCATGCATCCCTGACCCATGGAAAACACTTCTTGGGAACGATTTTTATCCGGGCAGCAAGGCCTTAATGCAACAGGAACCGAGAGTTCTTTTTGACTCATTAACTCAGCTGTTTTGCACAGCAATAAACCCTAGATAAGGAAGTAGCCAAGAGCAGCTCAGACTGCCAGAGAGGGGTGGGGTAGAGCAGAGGTCGCTGCTTTGGTTCCTGACAAAACCTCTCACTTACTCCTCACAACTAGATACCCACCTCAGTGGCACAGGTCACCCATGAGCACAGGCAGTGCTGGTACCAGTGGAAACAAACCCAGGGAATGTGGTCATGGCATATTTCTGGCAAGAGCCATCAAAGCCAAGAGCTACGAGGACTGGAAGGTCTCCTGGGGCCCGAGTGTGCGAGCGCGGCCACCCCGACCATGTGCTGGCTCGCAGTGATAACATTGTGTGCTGAGGTTGGCACACAGTCCAGGTGAAGTCACAAGAGGAAAAGCTTCCCACCCGGCACAGCCTCAGCAGCCACATCCACAGACCCTCGCCTGCTTGCCCTCCCTCACCACGCTCCACCCAGCCAGCCCTCCTGGCCACAGGGGACACGCTGCCCTGCCTGGCTTTCTTCCACTGTGTCGGGGCAGGGCTGGCTCACAAGTGGCCATTGTGTTTCCTAGGAAGTGCTGCTACAGCAAGTACCTGGTCACTCTGGCTGTGTGCAAAGGCTCAGAGCCTCTGCTGGCACCTCTTGATGTCCCAGCCTCCATCTGCACCAGCGCTCATCCTTCCAGGGCTGTTCTCAGGAAGTTTCATTGCGCCTCAGATTCTTCCACATGCACAGTCTCGGCCTCTGTCAAACTTTAAGTCTGTGGGGAATAAGGTAAGAAATGAAGCAAAACCCCAGCATCAAAGGAATTTAGCTTTTCCACAAAAAAAAAAAGGAAAAAAAAAAAAAAAGAAAAAAAAAGTTCCTTGAGGTAGCAGAAAGAAAAACTCTTTCTAGTTTGGTTCAGAAATATAGGGGAGTAACTGTTCAAGGTTTAAAGTTTGAAATAGATGAAAAAGCCATAGGTGATGGTATGTACAACGAATGTCTTGCCTTGGCCAGAGGAGAATTAAAGCATGATAAATTATGACTTACTATCTCTTATCTCTGAGCACCTCAGTGGACAACTAATGAAGCCTCATTTACTTGGGGATATCACTGCAGCACAATCCAACAAAAAGGTGAACCAAACACTCTGAGCTCAGGTGAGAGCGCTGCATCTAGCCCATGCCCTCTTCTCACAGCAAAGATTGTGCCTGGTTGGTCCTGCCAGGGAAAATCTTGATTCTCCCACCCTGTACAATTCTCAGCCTCATAGTTACCAAAAGCTATGAGCCAACATTTGACTGTAAAGCCAGAAAGAACTGGCCTGATCATCTAGACCCACATCCTTGAAAACCTGGCAGAAATCCTTCCCATCTCTACAAGGGTCCACTTTCTGACAAGAATCCAGCCACAACTTAAAGGACTCCTGTGGAGGATCCTCCAAAACCCTCACTGAGTTTTTCCAGTGGTTAGTTACAGATGATGTTAAAAAATAATGCTTTTCCTTGTATAATTGTTTGGGCTTTTTACCCAGTTTCACATTCCAGCTTTTGGATCTTAGTGCCCTCCAGCTAGACCACAGAAAGTTTGTTCCCCATGTAAGCATACCTAGACACAGAAAAAAGTTAGCCTTCAGCTTTCCCTTTTCACTCTAGCTCTTCAACCTTTTTCACTGGAAGGCCCCTTTCCCAATTCTTTAATACCCTCAGGCACTTTCCCTGGAACCTCTTCCATCCAGGAATCACCAACAAAAGCACTAAATAGAGTACATGGGAAATGACTGTGTTAGTACTAAGTGACACACACACTCAGCCCTTCCCAGAGCTATTCAGTTTAAACTTATTTACTGAAAGCTGCGTGAGTTCCCTCAGCTACAGCATCATCCTGGAATTTTGTACAGTCAGCCAGTGAGCTGTACCAGCCCCCACTTTTTCCCATCACTGCTTCCCGAGAAAAACTTGCCAGCTGATAAGCACAGCCTGTATTCCTTATTCTTTGACATGTGCCTTAGAGCAGCTAATGTTATACTTGGCCCCATCTGTCTGAGTGATCTGGACTATTGCAGTAATGTGGGGGGGTTTTTTTGTTTGCTTTGGGTCTTTTGTTTTTGTTTTGTGTTTTCCTTGGTTGTTTTTTTTTGCAGCCCACTGATTTTTGAGTCACTCCTACTGGTCATTTACCATTTTGCTGTCTTTCAGACCATTGATGGTAGAGTTCAATAGTACACAGCCACAAATGACCAACTTTACGACGTTTGTTCCCCCTTGCAGCTACACATCTCCATCCATTTGGAGGACAGACACATTCCCTGTAAAGTTCTAATGTCTGCATTGCAAAAAGCAGCAACAACAAAAATCTCTAGAAGCACTATACCAGCACCATGTACTCCTGGCTCAGCCTACCTCGAGTAATTTGATTGTAATAGCTTTAAGTAAACTTAACATTTGATACACGTTTCTGTGGGCCTTACCACAAGCAGGCCCCTGATCAAAAAACAGGAGTCTTCTTCTCTGGCTGGGACAAAACCAAGCTTAAGCACACACTTAGCTTCATCTTGTGTCAGAAGAGCCAGTCTCAATGCACACTAAAATACAGGCTTGTTCCTTGTGCTTCCTGGGTATCAGGAAGATGCAAAATGTGCAACAAGGAAGGTGAAGGAGGAGGTTAAACAGCCAAAGCTTTTCTTTACACTCTTGTAAAAACTCAAACCTCTCCCCACATCTTCTTTTCAGTTGTTAAGCACACAAACATGGGATTGCATTCCCATGCCTGGTTGCCTCAGGGGCAGTATACAAATTACAAATAAGCAAATATATGGATTCCTTGACTTCCAAGGGATTTTTGAAGATTAACTACTTAACCCCTAATTACACAGACACTGGCTGGCTAATGAATGAGGTGAGGCAACACCCAGGGCTGGTAAGATTCATAATGAAAAAAAAGGTGAGTTATTTCATCCCAGGAGGGAGAAGGGCTCATGGATCTGGCATCTTACTGTGCAGATTTCCCATTTGGGACAGAGTCCCACAGTCTGTATCTATGGGAATGTCTGAACTTCCACATTTTACTGTAGCATCACTGTACGAGGAGGTGTGAAGTCCAGTGGCTTTGCTCACTGTAAACAATGGGTCCAGGCACTCTCCTGGGACAGGAAATGGGACAGGCACTTCCCCCCACTGTCACAGCTGATGAATGTGAGAACAACCTACTTCCCAGAAGATTTCACTTTAACCGTGAGGGTTCCCTGCATCACCCGAGCAGTTTGCCCATCCTTGACAGACCACACACCAGAGAGGGAGAAGGTGGCACACTCCAGGCTGCTTGGGTTTGGTGTTTCTGATTGGAGGCAGAGATGTGGTTATAGGGTGAGGCAGTAGTCACTGTTGTTGGGAAACACCAGCCTTTGCAATGTACTACTGGATATGAAATTTTAGTAACTGTAACTTCTGTCCCCTGACTAGGGTCAGGCAGTACAGAGGAGTGTCTTACAAGTACTTCCAAAACATCAACACCCTGCATGCTCTGCACCCCAAGGAATGGCTGTGGGCTGTGGTGAGAGATCCACGAAGATTTTTAGTGCAAAGAGTCTAAATGCCAAGAACAGCTTCAGAGACACAAGCTGCTGTAGTGTTGTGTTCAAGACAGCAAGGGAGGAGAGGATAAACACAGCATCCATGACTACTGCATGTGGCACTTGCCCTGTGATCCACGAAGTAAAATAGCAAATACATTCCTTTGGTCATATCAACCTTCACTTTACTTTTGGGAATACAGGCTTACTCAGAAATCTGATACAGAGGAGCCAGACCATGCTAGAGCCACAGCACCTCCCCCTAGAATTCAGTTATATGGGTGATAAATTCTGCTCTCACTGACTTTGTAGACAGCAGCAGGACTTGGGGACCCACCATTTGTGTACTTGCCCCCACAGAGGTCCTTAGCCTGGCTTGCTGAAAAAATACAGTGTTTATGGAGTGTATTCAATGGCTGAGCCACTGTACAAAACAATGGCAATAGTTCTTTCATTCTTCCTTTTTCCTGCTTTCTTTTTGTTTTGACTCCTTCCCCTTTCTGTCTCCCTCTGCTTCAGCTTGACAAGGCTTTCATTTCTTTACCCCATGTCTGTCTTCCATACCATCTTCCTGAATGATCTACACCAGTAGCACTGGACACTTCTGTCCCCCTGACTGATGGGCTTCATCCTCCTCACAAAAGCATCTCCCAGTAGTATTAGGCCTGCAGAGAAAAGCAGACATCTCCTGACTACCATTAGATCTTTATTGTTCCTACAGGAAGGGCCTGTTTATAGCCTGGAGCTTGCAAAGACTTATGGAATTCGAAATGCCTTCTCCTTCCATTTTGAGGGCAGGCAGCTGAAGAGACCAGGAATCCTGCTTCCCCTCACAAATATCTTGGCATTCCAGATACTGGCCTTACCTTTAGATCCTGCAGCTCAGCAAATGTGCTATCATATATCCCAGAGTTCACCCAGCCGGTGCAACCCGAGAGGCCACCTATATGGGAGGGGGTGATTAAAGTCTAGGAATGGATGGGAGGTGATTTCCACACAGCCGGGATATATTTTTGGAAGGGCAAGGCAAAGTCAGAAAGGCTTACTAAACTCTTTGATCCTTTAAGCTCCTGGTTACCAAATAACCACCAGTATCCTTTCCATAAAATAAACCCATTTATTCTTAGCTACGTGAATTCCCATCCCCACTTCTGCAACACTAGCATCTACTCCTAAGCTGCATCTTTCCTCCCAGCTACCCCATCATCCCTCAACAGTTCCAGTAACCCATTCCCCAGATGCTCTCCTTTTCCTGATTGGGAACACATCATGCATCTTGCTTGCTGCACCCTTCCCTCACCCTCCACAGCATTCCAATCATTTGACACGAACAACCAATAGGTCACGCTTTGAGAACTGTCACTTCTAAGCCCTGCACAAAAAAACAACAACAACAAAAAAAGGTGATAGAATCTACTTAACTCATGGATTTCTCATAGCTTCTCTCATTCCCCTGACAGCTGTACAGTTGTTACATTCACATCTGCTGCTGCTAACTAGCCTCATTTTTAGCAAAGCACAGCAGGTGCTACAGAAATCTAAGTCTGGTAACATCATAACACCAGAAGTGTTCCCCCACTTTCATTAACTCCATGCCCTTTTTTTTTATTATTTTCTCTATTCGTTTTTCCCTCTCCTCCTTTCTGTTTTGCTGGCATGGTCAACTGTTTCACTGGGTCAGCAGCAAACAGGAGCTGCTGGAGTACAGGAGCAGCTCAGCTGATAGGTCACATCCCCTCATTGCTGCCCACTGGGCAGAGAGTGGAGGTGGCTGGCACTGGGTGCCTTAGATTAGCACCAGCAAATACCAGCCCCCTGAAGGGATGCCACACAGGATGTCCATGGGAAAACAGTGGCCAGGAGCAGGACTTCAGAAGGGCACGACTTCATAAGGACACTGATAATTCACACCAATCTGTAGCACGTGGATCCACCTGAAAATGGGACTTACCACCTTGCTGTCTTTCCTGGTCTAAGTACTTAATGCAGGGAGAGGGGGTTATCATAAAGCACTCCAGGAAAAGAAAAAAAAAAAAAAAAAAAACAACAAAACAAATACACACACACACAAAAGGCAAAAAAAAAAATAGTAAGTCAAGACAGTGGTGATGTGGCCCAGTAGGTCAGTAATTAGGATATTTCACTAGAATGTGGGAAAGAAATAAGAAAAAAAGTCAAGTTCAACACTTTCTCTGTTTGACCTCAAGTGTCTGGGGCAAATAGCTCTGCCCTTCAGGATGGAGCAAATTCTAGAATGAAATTCACTCAAACCCGACAAGGAAGCTCTTTAAAATTTCAAAGAACAATAACCAGACTGCTAAATAAAGCATGAATGTAAAGTCTTCATCTTCCATGGGCAGATTACCAAAGGGACATAATGGAAGCACAGTCCTACTGTCTACCACCCCAATAGGCCACGCTTTGAGAAGTGTCACTTCTAAGCCCTCCACAAAAAAATGTATGTAATTCTTCTTTCCAGCCAATTCCATGTCAGGTTTCCTTATTCTCCTGTAGTGGCAAGATACTGTACACCAGCTTGGCACCAGCTACAGTTTCCAAAAATTACATACCTGCTCAATTGTTGCTTATTGTTTTATATTCAGGGATCCTTAGAGTTCAAACCCATAAAGAGGACTCTTCCAAGTGTTTCTCTGCAAGCTGCTTACCTATTAAAAAAAAAATATATATTAAACACAGCTTTAAAAATTGCCATGGGCCTACAGGTAGGTAAAAGTTATATATTGAAAAATAATAGCCTTTTTAAAAGATAATTAAGGTTTGTACCAGAACTACTTAGGTGCTTAAGAAACAAGACAGAGATATAAGTTATTACTGGGGAAAAAAAAGACAGACAACAAAAAAACCTGCGGATTCCTTCCCATTACCTTACCTCTGTTGTTTATGGCTCTGGGAACTAACATCCTGCAAGCACTTCACGTGGCTTAGGCACGGAAAAGCCCCATTCCAACACAGAACTCACGTGCTGCCGTGCCGGTCACGCCGACACACCCGGTGTTCCACGCACCGCGGAGATCATCCCGCCCTCGCCTCGCCCCGGCTTGGGGCCGCTCCTTTGTTACCTCGCTGCGGACCGGAGTCCCACGCTGGCCTCTGCCTGCAGGAGGCTCAGCCCCCCGTGCTCTGCAGCAGTTTTTCTGCAGAGCTGCCCGGGGAGATTAGGGCGGCGATGGCATTTTATCGGCGCCGCTGCCGCGAGGTGAGCGCGGACACGATAAGGGAGCGCTAAAAAGTCAACGAGGTGCCGCTGACAAGGGCCGAAGCCGGGCCCTCGCGTCCCCACCGACCGCGTGTCCGTGACACTGAGCAGCCCAGACACCTTCCCACCAGCTGCTGCCCTGGAAGGCAGCACCTCTCACCCTCTCCCAGCAGGGCACAGCCTCCCGTCTGCGCAGCCCAGCTCATCTCTGCTGGAAGCTGCCGCAGCTTCAGGCCTGCGGGGAACAAATTTTTTCTTATGGAACCACACACCCCCCCTTCGGGTTCCCTAGTGAGCACTAAAGAGATTTTTTGCTGCTCAAACACGCTGATGGAGGTGTACCCTGGTTGTTTCGTTCCTCCCCACCGTTCCCTCCCAGAGAGGAAAGATCTGCTGCCTGAAGTGATGGCTTTTCCAGGCAAGCATCTGCACATGCTGCCTGGAGCAGAGCAGAGCCCCCAGCAGCATGCCAGGCATACACCCCACAGAGATTGGCCCCCTGCAAAAGGCAAGCCCCAAGGCTTGGGAAACCTGCTGTGACTAAAAGCTTGATTAGGACTTCAGTCTTCTTTACCGTCACCGAGTTTTCAGAGGAAGGTGAAGAAGCTGGTAAGAAATTTGTTTCTTTTGTGCAGCCACAGTACCTGAGCTGGAACCACAGAAGCAGTGTGCAGCCTGAGCCACATCACATGCTGTTAGAGCCAAAACATCCTGGCTCCATCCTTGCCATTGGTGATCACTAACTCCACATGGCAACAGCAGAGATAGCCCAAGTGGCCACAGGCTGACCAGAGTGTTTCAAAACAACCTGAAACTCAGGAACCTCCTCCACAACCTCCATCACAAGGATCCACACATGTACCAAGGATGCTCCCACAGCTGAGGCCTGGTGGCTCCAGCAACACTGCTCTGGAAAGCCAGAGCACTCCTAACAAGCTCTGACACACAACAACTCCCCACAACCACTGCAGTGAGCTAAAGGACTCCTTTATATTCCCGTGGGGCAGGTGTGGTTGTCTCAATTGTGCCCTTTCCCAGCTGATGCCAATGAAGTCTTTACCAGCAGCCTCAGCACAGAAGCCCAGGTCTGAAAGAAATGCTCAGTTCACCTCCAGGGAGTCCCTGTCTGTGTGAGGTTGTGTCCAACCAGGCAAGCTGCATCTTGCCAGTCCTCTGGCACCCTGAATTTACACTCAGAGAGAGAGAGGAGTCACTTCTTCTTGGTGTGTGCTTGCTGAAAAACACCTCCTGAGGTATCCATGACTACTGTTTCTGAGCCTTCATAAAGACACCGGGGCAAAGAGAGCCTGTCCCAGCTCCTTGAGATCCGATACAAAAACACATCCCACCAATGCACCTCGCAAGCAGTAGGCAGCACAGGCAGAGCCTCCTGCTCGCTCCTGGGAGAGCAGGCACGTAGGATTTAGGGGTGAGATCTTGGTGTTAGGGCCAGGCCAGCCCTCCCCGTGCTGTGCTGTGCTTGCTTTGGCAGGCGCTGCTTCCTGTGCTGTGCAAAACACATCTGAGGCTCCCAGGAGACTAAAACACTCAGGGATGTCGTTAAAGGGAGATGTTTCTTTCCCAGAAGAAAGAGATTTCCAATACAGGAACTCTGTCTAAGGACACTTGGATGTGGATGTTGCGCTGTTTATACTCACACAGTGGGAAGAGCCTTTGACAGTGTGTGTTATGTGCATTGCTGTAGGGATGTCTGAAAGCAACAGTCAGAGGTTATGCTCAAATATCTTGTATTTCATCTGAAATGACTTCTCCATTGTCTGTAATTTCTATTTCTCCCTCCACCCTCACCCCTCAGGACAAAGGCTTTGTCCGAAGACAGGAATGTGCCTCTGCCAAGTACCACGCTGAGAACCTTGGGGGTCTGTCCTGCTTTGGATTCTTTTCTGTTATATTACTTTTTAAACACAGCCCTGCCCCCAGTCAGGGAAAAAAATGCAATCCCTGAACCAAAAGGTGCTGAAGAACAAATGGGCAGGAGGCGCCCACAGAGGTGGGCCAGATGTGTATCATGAGGGCCTTCATGCCAGCACATCCTTGGTGGCTCTGAACAGCCACAGATGCTCTAACCTACAAGAGAAGGCAGCTCAGCTGCCAGGTTCTCCTGGTGCCCTCTCTGCAGGGCACACAACTGCTGGGCCCTCCATCCTCCCCGACTCCAGACATGAGCAGGCCTGTAGGAGTGAGGGGAGCATCCTCCACCTGTGATCCTGCCACCAGCTGGCCTTCCTCCCTTGCTGATGGTGCTCCACAGCCTGTGAAAAGAGCCTTTGCTGAGCAGACTTTTTCCTTCTCTTTGCCACTAGAAACGCAGAATTCTTCCAGAACTTCAGCACTTCTGGAAAGGTAAAGAACAAAAAAATCTCCTCATGCTGGCACCTGACAGGCACCCCTGGTTGCTGATTCCTCTGTGGCACCAGTCCTCCAGCATTTTAGTCGAGAGCCTAGCAAGTTCCTCACGGACCTAACAAGTACTCCATGGACAGTCATTCATTGTGTGCTCCCAGCCCCAGGCAAGACCAGCACACTCACCGGTCTGGCAGGCTTCCCCCCCAGCACTTTCACAAGCACTTGCCTACCTTGTTTGAGCTTCAGAGAGTTCAGTTTGGGGTGAAGGGTAGGTCAGCTCTTATCTCGTATCTACACGCGCAAATGTAACCCTCACCAGTTCCCTTCCCAGCTCCAAGAGTTCCTGCCCGGTGGCACAGTGAGGACCATGCTTTCCCCCTCTGCTGAGGCCTTTCAGCAGGAGACAAGCAGTGCCAAAGAGCCATAAAGATTTCCTAGGGACCCTGCAGCCTTGAAGAAAATCCTGGGGATGTCTCTGACCTTTCTTCTCTGCAGCCTTTGGTGCAGGGCTCATGGTTATGTGAAGGAGCAAAGCCACAGTTGCCCCTGCCTTGGTCTAGGCTGTTGAGAGCAACCCTGGGGTGATGCTCAGGGATGACAGGAGCTGAATGAAAACCCCAAACAGAATTCTGCAAGGATCTCACAATCCCCGTGAGATTCGGAGATTTCAGAAAGCCCCTCTGGCCCCATTCTCCTTCTGGAAAATGCTTCTAGTGCAGCTGAGGTGAATTCAAGAGCTTGAGCTACAGGATCTTGCAGTTTGTTTAAGCAAATATCACTTCTGTCAATTTTCCAAATATCTGTTCATGCACAGACTGTCTCAGCATCCTGCCAGGGCTCCAAACGCTCAGCTATGGAGAAATCTTCCGGAAACCTGTGCCTGCATCCCTGCCTTGCCTTCTGACCATTTTAAGACCAATCACATAAACAGAAGCCCACGTGGAAATGCAGTTGTGAAAGGTTGCATTCTCTAAAGCCTTACAGATGTGTGTGACTTAGGGAGCCCTGCTCAGAGCACCAGTCACCTTGTTCTAACCACAGCACATCGCACTGGGCTCCAAGTCCAAACTAGCAAGCCATATCTATATCCCTCACTGCTGGAGGCTATCATGGGACAAAGACACCAAAGCTGAGTGGGGGTGGGTGGGAAGGGAATGGTGGAGCAGGCAGAGACAGTTGGTCCCGTGTGTTTTCTTTCCTTAAAGATAAAAACTTACCCCAGTCAAATGAAAAAATCAGGAACAATGTAGGAATTTTAAAGAGCCACCTGACTCAGCGTCTAGGCAGGATATCGATTAGAGAGGCCATTCTTTATTCCTCTGCTATTGTTTGAGACCAGCCTCCCTCATGACAGCAACAGGCGTGGGAACACAGCAGCTTTGGTGTTAAAAAGTGCTTTTATCACTGAGTGGAGCAGAGGGGTCTCTGGGAACCAGAGATGGTTGTGTCTGATAGTCAAGGGAATGCATTCAAACTGAGAACCTTATTCTGGGGTCTCTGAGGTCCTGCTAGCAACTCTGAAGCACACCAACACAATGCAGCACATGCCCAGTCCAGCATTCCTACTGAGCTGTACTCAGGTGAGTTCAGAGAGGTGCAGAAAGAAAACATCTCTGCCTGCTAAAAATTCTTAGATTTCTTGAGCTCCAGTAGCTGCTGTGATGGCTGTTCCTACAGACATACTCACCTTGGTTTTATAAAAGCCAGACTGTGTTCTGCGAACCACGTGGCACAGCACAGAGAACAGGCTCACCACCCACGTCCTTCTCTCTCTTCTTGAGCAGGTTTTTTACCCAGGCTGGGCTCCAGCCTGCAGCAGCCACCACAGTGATGTCAGTAGGTGAGGGCATCTCCTTCATATTCAACAACACCAAACAGCTGTAGGGTGTTACACTTCACTGCCACCTAAACTATCCAGGTGCCTGCAGCCTCTCAACAAGCCAACACAAGTCTCTACCAAGAGAACTGACAGACAGTCACACAGCTACCTGGATGCTTCAGGCAGGAATAAAGAAAATCTTTGGTTTCTTGGTCATTCTCAGTGTATTAAAAATCAACACGCTTCAGTACCTGAACACTTCT